TCCATGTTACTCAGAAGAGACTTTTGATCCAGATCCAAGACTTTTGGGGTACGTCACGACGGACCACGGACTGTCTGGTGTTTCGTCTACCATCCTTTGGCTGTATCTGGCCGATGCTTGACTGAAGTGAGTTGTAATTCGTTCCGTTAAATTAATATTGACCACATTAAATGATTTGTGATGCATGTGAGATGTACGAGGCGAATCCGGAAAAAAATTGATTAGAAGTGGGGCACCAAGCTGTCCACGTCAGCTATGCTTAAGGACTCGTGGAAACAATGCCACTTTAAAACTGAACGTCATGAAAGCTTCACTAAAAATGTGAAAAATATGGAGGTGCCTTGTACCAAAGACACAAATAACCAAACCGCGTAGATAATGTAAAACCTGGAGTGATTTTGGGAAACCAAAACTGAAAAGACGAAAAGTCCTACCGTTCCTGGGCAAATCCAAGGTCACAGCACCGTTTGCCCGCCCGTCTCCCGCTCACCACTCAGCAAACCATGCACGTCACCTGATGCTGACGCTCTGCTGCTGCGCATCCGCCTCGGCCCAGCCACAAACGTCCAGGAGATGCGCCGACCAGCGCCCCCCCCCCCCCCCCCCCTCAGCGCTCTGTCAGTGCAGCGGTCCGGCCGGGCAGTGCAGTGTTCTTTGGTGTAGCTTCCTAGTGTGGTAGTGCCCTTTGTCAGTCCGATTGCCCATGCGCCACCGCAGGGCTGGTGTCAAACTCGCACGAAAGGCGCATAGGCGTCGGCCCCAGCCGGCGCCCTCTTCATACGCTCGTGGCAAGAGCTCGGCGGGGCGGACACCCCCGAAATGCACCGCCACTGCACCGGAACAAGGCGCCGTGGTGCGTTCTGGCGGTGCCGCGCCGGAAGGCGGGCCCGCGCTGCGAGCGGGCCGGCCTCCGGGAAGCGGTGTCGGGCAGTGTGCGCGGGCCCGCCTCTAGGAAGCGGCCGCCAGCAGCGCGCATGACGCTGTTCGCCGGAAGTTGGCCCGGCCGGTCTCGGGCGGCGGCGTCCGTCGGATGCCGTGCAGAGGCCAGAGGATGCTCGCGCCGCTGGGGGGGGGGGGGGGGGGGGGCACTCGGCTCGGCCACGCACGGCTCCGCTGCGGCTGCGAGCGTGCGGTCTGCGGTCATCTAACAAGTTGCGGGACTTCCGAACAGCCTGTATGCATGAATGACATCCAGACGTGCGGCAGCGGTAGGGGTCTAGCTAGTTGTAACGGTCGGGTCTCACAAAGTTTCACTAGCCAATAGTTCACATTAATTCAATACGTTTATTTTTCCGCTGGTTTGGTTCTGGACATTAAGAGCAAATAGCGTTGAGATCGGAGTTCAGACTTCTACGCGGGCTTGATATACCACAGAACGGCGGCTTGGTGAACAAGCGTTTCCAATACCAAGCAGCGTCGATGCGGGCTCGGATTCAGGTCAGGCCTCAGCGCTCTACCCCAGCTGCGGGATCTTTCCCAGACGTCGATATTGCGCCGCCGTCAGTACGCGGACGTCGGCGTCGGCTCTACTGGGCTCCCCTCCTGCAGAAGTCGCAGGGCCTCGGCAGGATCGGCGGCCGCGGTTTCCTGTGTCGGGTCCACCCCGTCCCCCGCCGGTCGCTTGCTCGGTGTACTTCACGGCGGAGGGCCGGCGCGGGCTGCTGGCTGCCAGCCACTGCCAACCGAACCGCCTTTCAGTCGACTCGAGATAAAATACAGTCGACAAGATAAGATACGTGAACTGAATTGAATTGACTCTCGCCTCTCCTCTGCCGGCCACCGCTTCCTCGAGGTCACGTCCGACCCCCGCCCCGCCGGGGGCGCGCACCATCATCCCGAGTGTACCGGAGCGTGACGGGGCACCTGTCACAGGGAGGACTGGGCGGCACCCACTGTCCACGTCCTCGGCCCGACTCGCCGCTCCCAGCGGCGTGACGGGGCGCCTGTCACAGGGAGGACTGGGCGGCACCCACCGCCCACGTCCTCGGCCCGACTCGCCGCTCCCAGCGGCGTGACGGGGCGCCTGTCACAGGGAGGACTGGGCGGCACCCACTGTCCACGTCCTCGGCCCGACTCGCCGCTCCCAGCGGCGTGACGGGGCGCCTGTCACAGGGAGGACTGGGCGGCACCTACTGTCCACGTCCTCGGCCCGACTCGCCGCTCCCAGCGGCGTGGCGGGGCACCTGTCACAGGGAGGACTGGGGCGGCACCCACCGCCCACGTCCTCGGCCCGACTCGCCGCTCCCAGCGGCGTGACGGGGCGCCTGTCACAGGGAGGACTGGGCGGCACCCACTGTCCACGTCCTCGGCCCGACTCGCCGCTCCCAGCGGCGTGACGGGGCGCCTGTCACAGGGAGGACTGGGCGGCACCCACCGCCCACGTCCTCGGCCCGACTCGCCGCTCCCAGCGGCGTGACGGGGCGCCTGTCACAGGGAGGACTGGGCGGCACCTACTGTCCACGTCCTCGGCCCGACTCGCCGCTCCCAGAGCGGCGCTTCCAGGGAATTAAAGGTATGCGGTATTCCGCGATGAGCATGCATAAAGCCTGTTTAACTTTTGTCGTTTCACTCCGCGAAAAGGTACGCGAGAAGTTTAAGCACTGATGTATGCGGATTAATGCTTCAGCTGCCTGATGCACTTCGTTCGGCTGGCCTGAAGTGCCTGCTTTGAAGGCGCCTCTCCGCGATGCCATAAGCAAAAGCCGCCATTAAAATGGATCGCTTTATTACAATAACGAGTGCAAAATGCACATACAATTCCTAAAGCTAACCAACACACCCATGTCCACAAAATGCTTCTGTGCAGGCGCCAACAGTACCCAAAAAGACTTGCGCCGTAGCCTCTCACAACGTCGGGATCCGCTACTCCCCTCACACAGTGTCATATGAAACATCACACGGGCGACAACACCGGAAGGCGGACGCAGATCCTCAAACTAGCAGTGTTTGACTTCTTTGGCGGACAGAATAGTAATGCCCCTTAGGGGAGTCTGAAACGGACAATGCGTCGTAACAGTTCACGTGCGGCTGGCCGGAGCCGGCCCCAGCTCGAGTACAGACGGCGACTAGCACGCGCCGAGAGAGGACAGTAAGTTGGGGTCTGATGCCAGATGCATCAGACAATGCGAGAAACAACGCCAACATCGAGATCACGATAAGAGAGCCAGTCGACGGCCGTGGCGTGGGGTTCGACGCGGGGCGCAAGCGCCAATATAACGACAACGCGAGTCGGCGCGGGGCAACCACCTGCCGCCTCCATCCTGATAACGTCTGACCCCTCCCCAAGGTGCAACACCGGACCACGGCTTTCCCCAAACCACACCGGCCAAGCCCAACACGGCGACGATCCCAGCCAAGCGTGCACACAAGCCCCGGGCCGAAGCAACACCCGCAGCCAGTCAGCCGAACACGCCAACAAACCACCCGTAGTACGACCAGGCGCTGGAGAACCCGCCCGCCGGCGGCCCGGAGAGTCCGGCCGCCGGCTCCTCGCTAAGCAGCCGCGCCGCTGCCCGTCCTCACAGCGTGAAACAGGACGGCAGTGGCAGGCGGCGCGCCGTCGTCCGCACGGCGGAGGGACGGCGCGGCCCGGACGCGCGGCGGGGCTCAGCATGCAGGCAGCCCGAGCCGCCCGACCGGCCGGACGACGAGGCAGCGGACACGCGGTGCACAGCGCTCGCCGCGAAGCCGGCCGCGGAGGCCGGAGGTCTCTAAGCGACCCAGGAGTCTCCAGACCGCGTCAGTACAAGCGGACGCGTTAAGGCGACGGGCTTCGTCGATGGATCTCCGACGCCGGGACAGGCGGAGCAACATGAATTGTGTGATCAGCCCCAGAGTGGAGGTCAGCGTGAACAGCATGCAGCATGATAATTTAAGCTATTAAGGCAACTGCCAAGACTGGGCGGTAACATTTATCAAAATAATATAATTAGCAAATTTACACTATTTGTTCATAGCTTCGGGTTGAGCATTTCAACTGAGCATCTCACAAAAAATAACGTTCTTGGTCACAAAGGCTTGAAAAACATAAAAACAGTTTCATAAAAAATAACGATTTCACATTTCATGACAGCAACAATGAAAATTCTTGCAAATAGCGAACACAGTTAATACCAAGGAAAAGCAGCAACGTTCAGCAGACGGAGCCGCTTATCCATCCAAGCATCGAAGACGAGGCTTCCACGGCGCTGTCACCACCAGCGCCGGCGCTGGTCACGAACGCGGGGTGCTGAGTCGGCCGCTGTTAGAGCCAGACGTGGTCATAGTCCCATCTCGGTGTTAATTCGCCATTACTGAGCCCCTCCGACGACGATGACGGTACTCCTTCAGCTCGTTTGTCATACACGAAGCTTGGGGTAAAATATGGGAAATTGTTCATGTCCAGGAAAAAGCAGGCACACTCCTCAACAGCGTAGTGTACATGCGCCCCTGCCGGAGCTTTAAGCAGAACCGCTTCCCACGTAAGTGGGATGAACATCCAGTCCAGTTATCAAAGAATGGACCGCGTATCAAGTTCAGAAGAATGTCTGATCGCCCGCCACAGGAGCCGGGCAATATGCACAGCGTCAGTTCTCGCGTTGGACAACAGATGACGTCCCGTCCAGCCGATTGCCGGCACAGCCCGTGGACCCCGGGCGGCAGTTCTGCTGCGGGTGGAATTTAGAAGGCGGGGGATATTGATATATTTGAAGGCGTCTTAATGCATCGCCTATCGGTGCGGTGTTCAGATTCAGGAGCCTGATGGGTTTGTACCCTGCCCCACCCGGGGCATGCGGGCCAAAGCCCACGCTGTAAGGCAGTGTTGCTAAATTGGTGAACTTGGAGTCCCGAGCGTCTCTCATCAGGTTCATCGCACATAAACGCCAGCCGGCCACACTCACACACTTTTGTGACACAACATGGTTTCTGGGCACGGGTGCAGCAAAGGACTCCCAGGCAACATGACAGACCACACAAGCAGTCGATGAGAACGGAACGTCAAGACATCTGCCCCTCCCCCCCCCCCCCCCCCCGAGACCCGTAACGCATGCTGGATACGGAAGCCTGTTACCTTGTCCTGTGCTTAAAACAACAATAAAAGCAGTGCTAACATGAGCGTGCTCCTGTACGTACGCGCGCAAAGCAGATTACATAAACGTCCGACTTGCTTCGTAAGAACCACGCCGGTTATTGCCGATGGTCTTTCTGTGATTGCAGTGTATCACAAAGCCTCCCTTCCGTGGTGCGCTTGCTTGGAAAAAGGCTGGCATGCCACGCAGACCGTGCGTCAGACACACCTCGCGTACGGGAGATGCCAGCGAGGGCGTCTGCTGTGCGACATCCGGCGCTGCTTTCGGTAAATTTAGCTGCGTGTGCGACGAGCTCAGCTGAACGTATTGGCCAGCTCAACTACCTGAAGCCGACAAGGAGATAAAATGTGCCCCAGTTGGACAGTATTGCACTGGAGTCAACAGGAGACGCCTTTGGCAGCCTCATTTGATTTTACACAAGCGTCCGGTAAAAATTGGGCCATGGCATTTCGATCCTCGTGGTGTGTTGTGAGGCATAAAACTTAAGCCACTTCTTTTGGAGCTCGCGTGGGGTTTCTAAGCAACAGGCTCTTAACTCAAAACACAGACTCAGTGGTGAGAATGCTGGGGTACTATTCCCTTTGTTCACACTTCAAAGCGGTCCGAGGTGCGGACCGCCCTATTGATCTACATGCTTCTGCACAATGATACCGAGTCGTTGGTATTCAACGTCACGCACCAGAATATGCTTTGTGCTCTGTCAGTCCGATCCCCTGGCAACTCAGTAGCATCTGCTAGATGGCCAAATGATCTTATCCCATGCAAGTATTGGATTTCCTCTATAACATTCAGGCATCCAAGAAATCCATCCAATTAAATAGTTCGAACCAAATTTAAAAAGGTACATCTCTTACAAATAATTCAACTTAACCCGCTGGGATTAAACGTAACTCAGGGATTTTCCTTAAGCAGGTGGCCTTCTGAACCACCTACAATGCAAATTTGACCGTTCGATGCCAGCGTCTGGCTACATTGAAGCAGAAACTTTAAAAAAGCTAATACGCTGCTTACACTGTTTACACTGCTTCACCAGTGCAGTACGTCCTCCACAGAATTCCTTGATACCTTGAGCCGTGTCGCACTAATCTCTGCGACCGCGAGGATCATTGTGAAAATGGCTAACAGAAAACGTCCCCAACCAAAAACGCCACGCTACTAAGAAAGACAGCCATCCCTGCAGCACCACCACCGCCAAACCAATGGCACTTGCCACCCGAAGGCACAAGCCTCGTGCCGGTACCCACGTCCCCTCCGCTGGGAATGGGCGTCACCTGGCGGCGACCGTCCTCCTGCCACGGTCCACAGCATCCGTACCGTGCCGGCCGCGCCGCGGCAGCCAGGGTACCTACCGAAGGACAGGGCCCACACCCCACAGAGTCCCAAAGAAGCGGCGGCCGAGGTCAGCGGGCCGGCCTCGGCCACCCCGGCGCTGCCAGCCGGAGCGCTGCCGCGGCCCGCGGCGTCCAGAAGCGGCGGGTGTGTCAGCCAGGCGCCCCACACCGCTCCGGCACGGACGGCGTCATACTTTGGCGGCGCCCTGCGACGGCGCCTGGCCGGCTCGCCGCTGCCGCAGCCGGAACGAGCTGAAGATGCGGAAGAATATGGCGGAGAAGACGATGAGGATGCCGACCACGCCCGTCGGCGAGATGGCGTGCTGGTAGAGCAGGCACGAGATCAGGATAGCCAGCCCCTGGAACGTGACGGAGGGCAGTTAAGTTTAGCCAGGGTGAGAACAGGGACGGGCTAGCTGAAACAATAATCGCGTATTATCGCTTTTTCTGCGTTTTTTTCGCAAAGCGCGTGGGAGAGTGAAAAGTCAGCCCAGGCCACTAAGGCAACTGCCACCTTTCTGCTTTCCAACCGGATGCGGCGACACTTGTGACCTTTGTAGGTAACACAGTTGATGAATGGTTCAGCAATTTATATGAAAGCGCTTCGTGTATTAATGACAACCGTTCACATCGGCTACCACGCAAATCGGTACTGCTGTGCCGGTCCTGACGCTACCGCGGATGTCTTACCCTATCCCGTGTAATCGCTCCACAAGCCGTGAGACGGGACACAGCTGACGTTTCAGGCCTGTGTCATGAAAACCCCTTCCTGACCAATTATGCGCGTCAGTACACCGATTCCGCGGGCACCTTGCATTGCGTGATACAAGAGTCCGGGGCAGAACCGAGCCAACTCTGGCTAATGCTCAGCCACCGGCCTCCCGTTAACGGTGCGTACATCAAGGCTGCACCACTTGGAGTCAGGCCCCCGGCCCCTGAACGGGTTATCAAACCCACTGTGACGCCTTGCGCGAGCGGACCCCCCGAGGTCACCGCGGCGCCAGCCTGGACCCCAGCCGCCCGGCCCACCCAACCCCGCCGACCAACCTGCCGCATCGTCATAATGATGGTGAAGACGACGGCGCCGAACTGGGAGATGGTGTAGTAGATGAACATCTGGCCGGCGGCCGAGAACACCGAGAGCATCATGCAGTCGAACATGAAGGTGGGGTACTGCCGACAGCCGGAGGGTCGGTCAGCCACGCGCCGCCGCCGGGGTCGGGCAGCGAGCCGGACAGTCCGAGCAACAGCCGGACGCCGACCCGCCGCAGTCCCATGGGGCTGACTCAGACGGCCTCGTGACGACTTGTGCACGACGGAGGGGGGGGGGGGAAGCGACGGCGAGGGGTGGCTTGTGCACGACGGAGGGGGGGGGGAGCGACGGCGAGGGGTGGCTTGTGCACGATGGAGGGGAGGGGAGCGACGGCGAGGGGCGGCTCGTGCACGACGGAGGGGAGGGGAGCGACGGCGAGGGGTGGCTTGTGCACGACGGAGGGGAGGGAACGACGGCGAGGGCGGTTTGTGCACGACGGAGGGGAGGGGAGCGACGGCGAGGGGCGGCTCGTGCACGACGGAGGGGACGGGAGCGACGGCGAGAGGCGGCTCGTGCACGACGGAGGGGAGGGGAGCGACGGCGAGGGGTGGCTTGTGCACGACGGAGGGGAGGGAACGACGGCGAGGGCGGTTTGTGCACGACGGAGGGGAGGGGAGCGACGGCGAGGGGCGGCCGGTCCGCCTTTTTGACGTGCGGTGTCAGACTAGGTGGTAGCAAGTCCTGAACTGCCATGGCCAGGCAGGGGTTAACTGATCATAAGGTCATGATAAGGTCAGGATCAGGATCAGTATCAGGATCAGAAGTGGGTTCAGATCGGGGCCAGGGTATATGGTACCCCGATATTAGGTCATGGTTGGGATCAATCCCCACCAACGTCGCGGCACCCAGATCCAGATCCGTGCCTTCCCCAACCATACCATCCCAACAATCCCGGCACTTCGCCAAAACAACGCTCCGTCAGAACAGCAACGCACGCACCATCGATCACATCGTCGTGTTAAAACCAAACTATCACACTCTACACATAGCCAAACTGGCAGACATCGACCCCCCTCTGTCCGCACAGTTCTCTCACGTCTGTCTCTCTGTCCGCACAGCTCTCTCACGTCTGTCTCTCTGTCCGCACAGCTCTCTCACGCCTGTCCCTGTGCTGAAGTTCATCATGCGATGGGCTCTGACCTTCACCATGAAGTGGGCGCTGCTGACGAAGCCGTTCTGCTGCAGCAGCGAGACGGTGGTGAAGAGGCAGGAGAAGAGGTTGACACCGCACATCATCTGCACACTGGACACGCTGTACTCCTTGTACAGCGCGTTCTGCCAGTTGCTCGTGAACGAATCGAACACCATGTAGCCGATCAGGATAAGTATGCCACTGAACGTCGTCACTGTGCCCTCTGAAAGCGCAAGGCAGCAAAGCATGGGTCAGACGGGGTCGTGTCACGTGTCACGGGGTCAGGTCAGGTCAGGTCAGCAATCAACATGTGGGATCTACTTCGCCGTACGTTTGGCAAGGCCAGTCGAACATGTGATGCAGGTGAAAATGACCTGCGGAAAGCCAAGTCAAGTGAAATTAGCGGGGGGTCAAGTGAAACTGAACATTGCGAGCGGTTTGTCAGGTCAGGCCTGGCAACAAGGAGTCGGACAGACGTTGCGCTGGTTCAGGGCTGACAACATGTAGGTCAGGTCAGGTCAAATGGTTCGCCATTATGGCCATGTCCTGTCTAGCCGTGTAGATCAAGTGGAACCACTTAACCGCCGGCTGCATGTTGTCACAAATGGCGAGCCGCTCTCGTCGACGACTCCACGCCCGTATCAGTACCGTCGTACCGTATCAGTACCGCTGTAACCGTATCAGTACCGCTGTCACGACACGATCGGACCGCTGGGAGCAGCGTGTAATCGTTATCACAATGCTTTGAGTGCCCGGTTGCAGCAGCAGACCACGACGCGATCACGAACGGGTGCGCGTCTGCAGGGCTGCTGGCGCCCCGAGCTCCGTCCGCAGGGCAGCTGGCGTCCCAAGCTCCGTCTGCAGGGCAGCTGGCGCCCCAAGCTCCGTCTGCAGGGAAGCTGGCGCCCCAAGCTCCGTCTGCAAGGCAGCTGGCGCCCCAAGCTCCGTCTGCAGGGCAGCTGGCGCACCAAGCTCCGTCTGCAGGGAAGCTGGCGCCCCAAGCTCCGTCTGCAGGGCAGCTGGCGCCCCAAGCTCCGCTCGTAACACCCTCCGGCGCGGTCCTCTCTTAAACGCGGTGCCCCTTCGCCGCAGCCAACACTGAACACTTACTGTTCTTCTCTTCAGTTGCTCCCATCAGGAAGAATGTCATGCCGATGGAGATGAGAATCGCTACAACGTACTCAAAGTATTCGTACTTGTTCTTGCTCACAACTTTACCCATTAGCATGACGGGAATGATCTTCGAAGCCTTCGCCAGCACCTGGAACAACACAATTACAACTGTGATCGGGTACGCGGTGAACATATCAGTGGGATCAGGTGCCACGACAGCAGAGCATGCAGTATGGTCATCGGGGCCAGAATTGCACGAGCACAGCAGTTCAATGGATACACGACACTACATGAGCAGATCAAACGACAATCAAACATCAGCGTATCTTTAAAAAAAAGCTAAGATATCGCCAATCGGTCTTGAGATTCAGTGATTCAGATCAGTGAGATTCATTGCTCGGGTTGGATGCTCAGCAATATACAAAATGTAGCCCCAAAACCCTCACTTAAGCATCTGGATTCCATCTTAGTCTTCCGATCTGATCTCCACTTCACCCCATCAGCATAAACCCACTCCATAAGACGACCGCGTGGCTGAGGCTAATCCAGTGATCCTCCACAGGATCAACACTCATTTGACAACGGCCGGAACAACACACGACCTTGCGCCCGGAGCATGCGGACACCGTTGGCGACGAGCGCACGCAAACATTTCCCATCCATAGCGTTAACACCACGCCTCAACCACGCAGAAAGCCTGACACGAGGTGAGGTTCCCTGGTGAAACGAGACCGGTCCAGGCAAGCCGAAGGTCGCTGGCGGCAAGACGCGCGTTGCAGAGTCAAGCTTTAACCAAATGTTTACCTCACAGCTTCGGTTGCTGCGCATGCGTCTACGTTAGCCATACCCTTCACCCGCGAGGCGGAATCAGTTTACGTTCAAAGCCGTCCGCCAAATGTTTGCCCTAGTGCCGGCGCACTGCGGGCCCCTCGCCAAAGGATGGCCAGTGTTCTCTGCAGCACAAATGGTACGCGGCGCCTGCCCACACGTCCGCATCAGACGGCGTTCGGTCCCCACGCCGTGCGCTGGCCGCAGGCTGCGTGTGAGGACGGGCGCCGGAGCAGGGCAGAGGCCTGCTGCTGCCCGCGGCCTGGTCGGCTCACCCCTGGCCCCGCGGCAGATCACCCTCGGGTAGCAGGAGGGCGAGATAGAGGACGCACTGAGATGGAACTTTCGCGTCACATATTCAGCATCTGCGGATGGCAACACACTGGGCTGCCCCTAAGGTGCTCGTCGCATCAAGCCCACCGCATACTGTCGGCATTCAGCCATGATTTCGTCCATGATGATGTCCAAACACTCAGCTGCCCGTGACGCTCACGGGTGCACGAGTGACAGGTAGTGTGGTGTAGGCAAATTCCCCAAGTCCTCGGTGATCATCTCTCCACACACACCTGTGTGGGGAAGCTGACAAACTTCAGCGCCTCGTACTGGCACCAGGACGACATGATGTTGGAGAAGCTGCAGTACGAGTACTTGTAGAGGGGCGCGCGGTGCCGCTGGTGGCGCACCACCAGCAGGTAGAGGGCCGACAGAAGCAGCGCAAACACCCGGTTCACGAACACGAGGAACTGCGAGTCGGAGAATCGGCCCCGTTCTGGGGTACCGTTGTCGTACTCCTGCGGCGGAGGGAGGCGGCGTCACAGGACATGGTGGTGTCGGCGGACAGACTGATGTCAACGGACGGTGGCGCCAGCGGACAGTGGTGTCAGCGGACAGGCTGGTGTCAGCAGACTGCACGGTGTCGGCGGACAGTGGTATCAGCGGCCAACCTGGTGTCAACGGACCGCACGGTGTCAACGGACAGTGGTGTCTCCGGACAGACTGGTGTCAGCGGACAGTGGTGTCAGCGGACAGACTGGTGTCAACGGGCCGTACAGTGTCAGCGGACGGTGGTGTCGGCGGTCAACCTGGTGTCCACGGACTGCACGGTGTCAGTGGACAGTGGTGTCTACGGACCGTACGGTGTCAGCGGAGAGTGGCGTCAGCGAACAAAGCCGTGCCAGGAGTCGGAGCGCCGTGAGAGAGCGCCAACGATACGGCGGACAGTGGTGTCAGGCGACAAAGTCGCCTTTGCTAGCTGTTTTAGGAGACATAATGGTGTCAGTGAACAGCGAAGCGTTAGTGGTGAGAACAATGCACGCGGAAAAAAGCACGTCCAGGAGACGGAGTGGTGTAGGAGAACACATCAGTCTAAGTGGACGAAGTGGTGGCATGACGCAGCGGTCCCAATGAACGGCGTGACGTCATTGCACTGGAGTATCTCAGTGTGCGGAGTGGTACAAAACCACAGTGTTCTCGGCGTGATAACGAGGTCATAGTGAACACGGATGCCTCAACGGAGAGCAGTCTCAGAAAGCAGAACTGTCGCGGAGGCAAGAGTGGCGTCAAATGATACACTGGTCTGACAGGCAAGAACGGTGTCGGATGACGAAAGGTGTTAGCCAAACAGTACGCGGTGTGCATTGTACCTCAATTACTCCCAATACTTATCAGAACGCTTCTTCACTTCAGCAGCGTTATACGCCTTGGCAAAGCGTCATCACTTCACACCGGCACAGATCCCGACATAATGGAGTGGGCAGGCTGCTACCGCACCCTCCACCCGCTCCCACAGAGCCGACACGCCCAGCCGTCAGCTGAAGCCGAACCCGCCCCGCACCTTGGTCATGATCTTCTCCTGCAGCACGCCCCAGCTGAGGTAGGAGCCGAGCAGTCCGGCCACGCAGAACATGAGCACGAGCGCCTGTCGCAGTGGCGAGCGCTCGCGCGGCCCGCCGCCGGCCGTGCTCGGGTCCGTGGTGGGCAGAGCGCCAAACGCGCCGTCGCTACCGTGCACGCAGGAGCGCACGGCCGCGTCCAGGCAGCCGCGCTCGCCTGCCAGCGACGCGGCCGGTCAGCAGCGGCACAACGGACGACCGCTCCCGCCCGCCGGGGCAGGCGAGGGGTCGGCGGCGACGCACGAACGCTGGGCAGCACGCGCCGAGCGAGGAGAGGAGACCTAGGTGATCAACGGGGGTGTTGCGGCTAGTTTCAGCTTGAGGTTACATGTGAAAAAAGAGATGTGCAATGTCCGACTGAAAAGCCAAGCAAACAGCATCGGTAGTTATCAAGCCGAACCCCCATATTTTAAATACTACTCGCACCTGAACGGCATATGACAGTTACCACGTTATATCTTAACACCTAAGGCACAAACCAGGCCAGAAGACAATGTTTTAAGTGGAGCCAATGATAACCCGCCACGTGGAAATGCAGATACAAAATACGTGGGGTTTCTAGTCCACTTTTAATTGCACTGCACGAAGCGCCTGGCGTAGTGCTTTTGCACGTAACGCACGGGCTCCACAGCTTGTTTTTCCCCCTGAGCTCACTATCGAGGGAGTGACACTCTAATTGATGTGGTATCTTTGCCTGCGGGCCTTTGCAAGACAGGAATATGGTCGGATGTTTTTTGAGCCTCTGGCACAACCCCCATAAGCCAGGCTCAAGCCTTTGGCACAAGCCAGCTGTAATAACAAAACGCAGTGATCGGACAAGCGTAGGCAGCCTGCCACCGTCAGGTCTCCGACCCAGTTACCGCAATCGAAACAAAACCCTTCAGCCTCTCTCGGAGCAAAGCAAAGCAAAGCTTCGAAGCAAAATCAGTGGCTACCCACGGGCTGTTCGGCCGGCCCATGCCTCTAGAGCAACAAACACCGACTGCCAAACACCGGCAGGGTGCGAGCGAGCTCGACTATAACAAAGCCAGCGGCCCAAGTCAGCACGCTGCGTCGGAGGCCACCGCGTAGTACGGACGCGGCCTCTGCCAGACGGCCCCCGCGGCCTCGTCACTCACCCGCCCGCTGCTCGTAGTCGCCGCTCTTGAAGTACTTGATGAGCAGGTAGCCGGGGACGATGATGGTGCAGTAGCCGATCAGGTTGAAGGCCAGGCGGCCGATCCAGCTGTCGTGCAGGCTGGCCCAGTCCAGCTCAGGCGGCGCTGACTCCGGGGCCGACATGGCCAGGCGGCTGCGCGGGGGGCGGCCTGCACCTGCCAGCGGGCGGGCTGGGTCACAGGGCACAGTCGCCGCCCGGGGCGTGTCGCAGTTACCGGGGCAAGACTGTACGCCAAACTCAAGGCGATGCGTTTCTAAACTAGCTGTTGCAAGCCAGATGCAAGGCATAAATGCCTTTACACACCTTTGTTTCCATCCATCGTTGGCTTACGTTTGAAGGCAGCTGTGGGACCGAAGCTTCTTGCTGCCACAAATTTCAATAGGTTATGGTGGGGTTAAGTCCTCAGTCCTAAGCATCCACAATCTGGTGTCATTCATTACTAAAAGAGTGGACCGCATACGTGGCTTTGGAAGGGCATTATCCGCGGGCAGTTCTGATGATAGCAACACAATCAGGTTACGAGAACACGGCCATCGTCTCCATTTAGAACACGACTTCGTTTCCTTTTCACATTTAGCCGACTAGTTGAGGCGGTGGCAAAACGACGGGTCAGCATGTTGGTCAGATGCATCCACCGGGCCGTGTCACAGCGGCTCGGCGAGCTCCGGTCCATGCCATCTACTGATCGCGAGGCGCTCTAACATGTCGCGAATCGCCCGGCGCCACGAGCTCGTAACCACCCCAGCTTCTCATCCAGCGCACACCCTCCTCGAGGCTGCAGTGGTCTGCTTTCAGTGCCACCATGTGCTCGCCATCTGACTCGGTTCAGTGATGGCTGCACCCCTCACGCGTTGGACACGAGTGCTTACCAACGAGGAAATAGTGCTGCCTGCGCTGCTGTATATCCCTGAACTAGCACGAAGTGAACACATCGTGATGCGTGTCACGCTTCGGTGCCCCAGTGTGGTCAGGGTTGGTTTCCAGCCCGCCGGCTGGCCGTCGATCGATCAACAATCCGCGGCCCCGGCTAGCCAAGTCTGGGGACCGTGGGGAGCTGTTGGAAAATGCATGCGCACCGACCCACCCCGTGGATTTCGGATCCATACGACCACCCCTGAGAACAACTGCTAGATAATGCAAGTTGGACGAGCAACATTATACGGCACGTAGCTGAGACTATGAAGCGAAGTGGAAGCGACAAAAACCGATCCACAGTGCTTCGGACGCACCTCTAGAGGCGGATTCAGGATTTCGGCACGGGAGTGCCACGTCTCACTGCGGGACTAGAACTTGGAGCCCTGGAACCTGGTACCTCCTTTCGCAGAAGTACCCGTATTTCGGCCACTTTATTCAAAGGTCCATATTTTCGAGTCGTTAACTATCGTCCTCTGCGCATCGTGAACGGCTGGACATAGGCCGATGTGTTTGCTCATGGCAAAAGTTCATCTTTCCCCAGAGACTGGTGGATCCTTCCCATACTATTTCTGAGTAGATCGGAAAAACGAGTTAAAATTGACTGCTTAATACCATCAGTCAGGCACAACACATCCCGGCTGGCAAGCTATCGTCAACTTACGCACAACACAACCAGCAGGAGTTGCATTTTGTATGTCGCTTAACCTCACAGTGAATGACTGTATGTGATTGGGACTTTATGATGTTACTGGAACTGCATGGCAATATTACCTATCACCTGGCTGAAACGGCGCGCGACCGCGGGGAATCGAACCACGCCGTAAACGGTTAAACGGAAAAACAATAACTTGTACACGATGTCTAAATCGTAATGCCACTCAAGTGACATGTTACAACACAAATACTGAGATGTAAGTGGTGGTAGCAGAAAGAGGCGAAGCTCATGAAATCTGTACACTTTTGACTCGGCATGCTTCCTTGCAGTAAAAGATGTGACCAGCTGCCTGTAACGCTCGCTGTAGCGTTCTGCGTCGTTGACATGTCGGTCGGTAGGCCTGTGCTTTGCCACTGGCATGTCAAACTATGATGCATTTGAAAGCAAAAGCAAACATAGGAAAGTGCAGTCTTTGCTGCTGTGGCTGCCTGCTGTGCTGCCAACCACAAAAATGTTGGCACCCACACTTTTATCAAGTGTCAGTGACCGCAGAAGCCATGTGAGCAGTCAGCTGTATACTACTTATATTACATAGGCATATTCCTTTTTCTATACCCTCACCCTAAAACAGGTAACTGGGAATGCCCCCTCCCACCATCCCAGCTATGCAATAAACTGCACATTAACACCAGAAATAATAAAATCAAGTTGTAGCACTCCCAGCTGGAAAGAAACAAATGAAAAGAAGCAGGCCAGGTGGTGCAGACCAGGCATGAAACATGGTGTTACGTAAAAACCAAGGATAAATCATGCATGGGAAGGCCTTAAGTAGTCAAAGCCTAATTCAGCTACTGACAGCCTGCTAGAACCATCTATTAAGCTACTTCCACTCATTCACATGTCAGTATGGGTTGTACATTCACACAAAGGAATTACTTATGAATTAAGTAACTACCTATCAATTATGAGCACTCAATCAATACTCCTCCCCCTGTTTTGGAATACACCCTCGCAAAAGTATTTGGTACAGACAGTCTTCTCAAACATATGGTATATACATGGATACTAAATAGCTTTATGAGACACATGGATTCCGATAAAAATGTTGCAGGGCACATTAGCGTCTGTCCACAATGAGGGATTGAGATTTTGAAATTTAGGAGTCCCATCTCGCAACCATCACCACTTGGAATTTCCAAAAGCCCTAAAAACCTATGTATTTCTATAGATTGTCCGCACAATCATTTGATTTTGTCATGCTCAAACCAAGCCACAATTTTTTCATGAAACTCTGCCATGCTATTCACATTTCTGCATGCAGTTTTTGGCTGTAATGCCATGGATTCAAAAGCTGTCACCGCAACACCACTGCTGAGCTGAAATATTCCTATGTAGTCTATGCTTAGGTAAAACTCTGCAGCAATACTTCCATATGAAGAAATGGCAGAACAGGATGAAACTACCCATTACAAGTTGGAAAATATCCCAGAGCCACACTCAGTACATGCACACATTTACAACACTATTCCGGAGGGAGAATTCATTCGTCTCGATAATACAACTGCATGGAGCAGTCCATTTTCCTTGATAATATTACTATATGACTGACTTAAACTGGCGTAGGGATGCAGGAAAGGAAGATGGGAAATGTAGGCAGCAAGCTTACAGCTCTGGCGCAATTTCACATTCCCATCATTGACTTACGCTTAAGTGGTTGGGCGGGACGCCGGTGTGTTCACAGATTGGCAAAGATCGTTGCACAGCGCCAGCACTGACTTATATTGCACGAAATACGATCACTCTGATCTGAGATCAGCCTTACCTGAACAGACACAAAATACCAATGGCCTCAACCTGTCCTGAAGACAGCGCGAAACTACCCCACGGCGCCTCCCTCCCCCTCACGCCGTCTGCTCACATCCGTGGCTCAATGCCAGCGCCTGGCACCACGTAAACAATTCCACGCTGCGGCGAAACGGCAACATTACGTCATGGTGTATTGCTAAAACTACACTTTTTGAAAACAATATACTTCAAGTATTCTGAACAGAATATTTTAAAGGGTTCAATACTTTTTAAAGCCGAACATGCTTTGGAATGCGTCGGTTGTATTGCATAAAATAATACACTCGATAGAGGACACTAGCTTCGGGGGTGTGACGACGAAATCGAGCGACCTGAGACATTGAAGCAGCCTTGTGCTGCATTTTGACGCGCTGGATCCTTTGCTGCTTCCGAACCGTTCTCCAGCGCACGCATTATGGACGCCGCCAGAATCGGGAGGAAAAATCAAGATATTGAAGACCTGTCGAATGTAGAGTTCGAAACAAGCGAAGATGTTGAGGTGGTGCCGACATTCGATAATATGAATCTTCGCGAGGATCTCCTTCGGGGAATCTATGCCTACGGTAAGGCAGTCACGGCCTGGACAGTCACTTGATTGTGAAATGCTGTTTCGTCGTCATTGAGCTGCATATTTACCTGGTAAATGTCGTTTAGGTGTGCAATATTTTTGTTATCTTTCACACTGCCCTGCTCACCATGCCATAGTACTAACTAAGATATTGTAAAATATTTGACAAAAAAGGTGACATTTGCAACACATCACAGGCCCAGTCCACAATAATTCATCCACTGCTCTAAATACTTACATGATGTCTGTGCACTGGGCATGGAGAGCGTATGCTCCAAACTCAGGTCAAGCCAAATTGTGCTGAATTTTTAGCTTACTTTCCTTTCCTAAAAGGTGTGGGGTTATATTTGCTTGGAATGTTCTTCTATGCAATGACATTTACAGGTTATTTTGTGTGTGGTGTGCAAATTTTTAAGAGCTTCCTATGAACCAACCATGAAAAAGACTTGAAAATATCCAGAATGGACTTATCAAATTGGGTGAGCCATAACCAAAATAAACCTTTTATCACCACTTCGGTTATTGCCTGCAATGTATACATTTTTGTCACCTGTTTAATGAAGTTATTGACTGTAATGTCTACTGAAGTCTCCAAATACATGAAGGAAGTGTCCAGAAAGACTTCACCAGGCTTGCTGAAGTAATACCAAATAGGTAAAATAAATTACCAAGATAAAGAAGGACATTGAAAATTGGAACCAGAATTTAAGGCATTCAGGCTAAGAGCAAAAATGACCATATTTTTAACCAAACTGGCATCAACTTGTGAATGCTTTGGGACACAGATGCAGTTCTGAGAGCCAGATGTTGACTAGCATTGAGTTTTATGATGCCTTAACATCCAGGGTGCAGCCAGCTTGTGGGGGGCAGGCACAGGATGTGCATCCTCCTGCTAGGCTCCGAGTGGCCATCAGGATCCAGAGTACAAACTTTAAATGGCCCCACTGGCTGAAAGGCTGGCCAGGGACAAAGCCCTGGTGAAGGCCTGACCCTCAAAGGTCAGCCAGAGGCACTTTTTGTTCGGGGTGACAAATACATTTATGTAGGTCTGAGACTACCAATGCTGGGCAGTTGGCTCAGGGTGGGCCTGGATGCTGGGGGCCGATTAACGAACCAGGGATATGGCCTGTGTCTGCAATGGTTTTGAATGCCTTCCGCATTGGCTGGGCCCCTGAAACAAGGTGGCTCCCTGTATCAAGGTGCAGAGTGCTTAACAGAGGAGCCTGTGTTGGCAGGAAGCTCCTAGTTGACTAGAGGCACATTTTGCTGAGGAGGAACAGGAAGGTGGCCCTGAATGTCACTTGAGAGCCACTTGCATTGGCCTAATTCCTCTTGCATGACATGATATGGAAATATTATTAATGACAAAAACTGGTCCAGGAGGGCACAACGGAAGGGTCTGGCCGGTCACGTACATTAGTGCCGAACAGGGGACCTTCAGAGCCCCTTGCCCAGGTCCTAAAACAGACCTGGGCTATTTTGAGCCTGAAGCCCGATAACCCCCAACTGCAGCCCATACAGCTGTCCATATGGCGGTTGGGTTGCATGTTTTACTGTTGTTATAATTGTGTTAAAAGCATTCCTGACTCAATTATTTTCAGATCAGAGCTCACCAAAAGCAAAATTGTTGTGTATGCTCTAGGACTCTTCCCTCCTCTTGTGAAGTCATAATTGTAGGGCAGAACTTATCACCGTAATGCTGGGCACAGTCCCCCTGCCCTTCGATCTGCCTGACATTAAACAACCGCTGCCACCAGCCGCGGACCACCAAGGCCAGAAGTCAAATAGCGAGTTGTCCACCCCCACGCGATGAGTTCTCACTTAGATGCTCCCTGCCGCCATGTTTGATTTTCCTGGATGTGCCCCTCGAGCATGTACATAGCGACTTGGACCTCCATGCCACCACACGTGGTTTGGAATTGCTAGGAGCTGATACCAATGAAGCTACAGATGGCGACAAACTGCTGCTTGTGGTTACTATTTAATTCGTTCTGGGCGTTGCTCATGCCCTTCCACATGTAATTAGAACTTAAGGTCCTGATGTCTGATCGGTTTATAGTACCATATTTTTACCGGCACCATTGGTGGTGACTCAGTCGTCTGGTGAAAAAAAACGTCCGTTTCGGCCTGCTGATTCAGCTGGTAATTAGGGTTTGCATTTTGGTGATGGAAGTTGTCATTCTAGTTGGTCAATTAATTTTGTCTTATCTGTAAGCATGTGCTGACTATCCACATATGGTCCCAATTTAAATCACAGAATGTAGCCCCACTACGTCTGATCTCAAGTCAGCTTGGTGATGGTAAATGCAAGCTCCTTTCATAAATATTTTTTGTATTCCCTGTGACAGTACTTGGTCCCAAATGATGGCACCATCCACATTGTCATGCATGGAACCTGATAGGATTATGCATGCCAGACCTAAATATATGTGTGCACAACACCAATGCCTTTGGTCTATCTAAGAGATCCATGTACACCACTGTGCACCACTGACCAGCTCCAATTGAGGACTCTCCTCTGAAGTAATTTAACATCACCTCGGATGCACTGTGTAAAATTGCGCACTTTAGACAGTGCCTGTGCCTTCAGCTGCGCTATGCACCACCCCACAGCCACAATGCCTTTGTTGTGTTGGTGTCATTGGCCTTTCTGTCAACTGGATCTGAAGGTTAGGTCTGTTTCAAGTCTGAAGCCGCAGGACACCGGTGCCCACAGGGTTTGAGCGGCCCTCCGCCATCCAGCAGCGCGCCATCCGCCCCATCCAGAAGGGCCGCGACGTGATCGCGCAGGCGCAGTCGGGCACCGGCAAGACAGCCACCTTCTCCATCTCGGTGCTGCAGAGCCTGGACACCACGCTGCGGGAGACCCAGGTGCTCATCCTGTCACCCACCCGCGAGCTGGCCGTCCAGATCCAAAAGGTGAGACGCGCCTCCACGCATTAGATGAGAGATGGGGGCGCGCTGTGATTTGTGGGCGAATGGGATGACTTCCTTCACACTGGGTGCTACTGCTGTTGTTTTGTGCCACTGTTGGTACTGAATTCTTTATTGAAATTCAAGTGATCCCTCGTGGCAGGCCAGCTTCTGGGTGACTCATCTCATTCCATTTATTTCCGCTCATTCCGTTGCAATGTATTCATGTCTTGAAAACGTATCCCGTGTATTCCCTATCACCACCACAGAAGGCCCATCACCACAGATTCCCACTGCTAGTGCCGCACTGGTGACGCGAGCAGTCCCGCTCCGGCTGCGACCGTCCCCTCCGACTGACACCAGTCCGGGCCCGCTGCAGGTGATCCTGGCGCTGGGCGACTACATGAACGTGCAGTGTCACTCGTGCATCGGCGGCACCAGCCTCGGCGAGGACATCCGCAAGCTTGACTACGGCCAGCACGTGGTCTCCGGCACGCCCGGCCGTGTCTTCGGTAAGCCGCGCTCTCCCGCCGTCGGCGCCACCGGACAGGCCGGTGTTGTGGCCACGGCTTCCAGGCTGTCCACTGCTGTGAGGGCCATGCGCTGCGCCGCCTGCCTCCCCTCGCCTTCTTGTTAATCAGGAGAGTACATTGTCGATGTAATGTGAAAATTCGCCTCTGGGCCCGGTGTGCAGCTCGGGCCACGTTTCGCCGAGTCGACATCTCGCCGCCCCCTCCATTGAGAAATTCTGGGGATGCTGCTGCTCGGGATTGCACCTATGTGATTGCGGAGTGCCTGATATTGTATATGCTCAATAGAAGCCTGCGTGAAATGGTATCTGCCGTATCTGTGCGTCGTCTGGCGGTCGGATGTCACACGTTACACTCAGGTGCGTGTCGTCGCGCCCATGTCATACCCGCCGGCTGCCAGGTGGGTTATGCTGCAGTGTGCTGCATCGCTTGTCAGTGGGGATGACAGCTGAGGATAAGGGTGCTTTGATACTAATCTGACTTAGTTACGCGCGGTGACTACCGTTATCCTAGTCAGGGTCATTTTCGCTCTCTCGGCTACGCTGCCTTATTCGTGGGGTATGGTTTGGTGTAGGTGCTCGCTCCTGGTCTGCGCTTCCAAAGACGCTGATGGCTGGGTATGTTCATGGCCCCAAGCCACCCACGGACACCCCGTGCGGGGTTACTGTTGATCCCTCCACGCCAAAGCCGGCTGTCGGTGGCCATATGGTCGCCCGCCTGCCCTGGTCTTGACTGGGGCCGCGTCGGCCCCTCGGCTGACCGCGGGCGCTGACGGCCGCCAGACATGATCCGCCGCCGCACGCTGCGCACCCGCTCCATCAAGATGCTCGTGCTAGACGAGTCAGACGAGATGCTCAACAAGGGCTTCAAGGAGCAGATCTACGACGTGTACCGTTACCTGCCGCCGGCCACGCAGGTCAGCATGGGGTCCGGGGGCGCGCTTTGTAAGGGTTGTTTCGCCGCGGGGTGGTGTTGAACTGCGGTGAAGTGCCATGGCGTGCGAACACCAAAGCTTGCCTTTGTGGCTTGCTTCACTTGAATGCCAGCATCGATTGGTGCGGTCTCACAATGTAGCCCAGCTGTGCATACAGCTGCGTACAAGTTGGGCCATTTCATGCTGACAATGCAGTGCTGTGCGCTGACAGGGTTTCGGCGTCCGACCTACCCCATTCCGGGGATTGCGTCCGATGAGAATTCCCGCGCTCGCCGCCAGGTGGTGCTGCTGTCGGCCACGCTGCCGCACGAGATCCTGGAGATGACCAGCAAGTTCATGACGGACCCCATCCGCATCCTGGTGAAGCGTGATGAGCTGACGCTGGAGGGCATCAAGCAGTTCTTCGTGGCCGTCGAGCGCGAGGAGTGGAAGTTCGACACCCTCTGCGACCTGTACGACACGCTGACCATCACCCAGGCCGTCATCTTCTGCAACACGAAGCGAAAGGTCAGCCACGTGGCCGGGGGCGGGACCCGTGGGGAAGAGGCATGGAAGGCAGGGCCTTCAGATGCGCATGTGAACCGGTTTAGGTGCAGGCGGATGCACTGTGTGATACACTGTCACGTTGTTAGTGCCGTTCTGAGTGTAGCCTATATTTTGATGGGTTTTGGAGATGTATACACGGAAGGTGCGGTGATGCAATACTTTGTCTGATAGAGCACTGATGTAGAGGTCAGCATACATGTGGGCACGTGCAAGGTGGGTCTGTAAGATGAATGGATATTATTGAGATGTTGAAATATGGAAGATACGCCGAGCTACCCTTTTCTCGTGTATTAACTTTTACGTGTTTTTGAAGATGGTGCTTGGGCGACAGGATCATGAGAGTCAGGCGATTTATGTAACGCGATTCGTGAGCTTTAACCAGCGTTTACATGATTAACGCAATTGTGCCGAGCTCCTGCCGTCTCCCTAGACGCTCTATGTCACCTGGCTTGGATCGGTCCCCGGAGGCGCCTCCCGGTGACACCCGCGCGTCCTGAGCCGCTGTTGACAGCTGGCCGCGCCGGCGCTGTCCGCAGGTGGACTGGCTGACGGAGAAGATGCGGGAGGCCAACTTCACCGTCACCTCCATGCACGGCGACATGCCGCAGAAGGAGCGCGAGGCCATCATGAAGGAGTTCCGAGCAGGTGCGGCGTCGGACGCCGGGCCGCCCGAGTGGGCCTGTGTCGCTGCGGCATTGTGACGCCCTCGGTCGGGCCGTTCGCGTCCTGGTATGCTGCTGCTCACGCGAGGCGACTCATTATGGGGGTGACCACCAGCTGGGGCTGCAGCATAGCGTGCGGTGGACTGGCCTCATTAGCTCGTAACACTCTTACTGACCACAAGCTACCATGGGGTGCTCACCCGCCCCCTGACTCCAGGTCACAGCCGGGTGCTGATCACCACGGACGTCTGGGCGCGCGGCATCGACGTGCAGCAGGTGTCGCTCGTCATCAACTACGACCTGCCCAACAACCGCGAGCTCTATATCCACCGGATCGGCCGCTCGGGACGCTTCGGCCGCAAGGGCGTGGCCATCAACTTCGTCAAGGCGGACGACATCCGCATCCTGCGCGACATCGAGCAGTACTACTCAACGCAGATCGACGAGATGCCCATGAACGGTGGGTGGCGGGCGAGAGGGCGTCGCCGGGCGACCGGCCGCGCATCGGTCTGTGTCACGACGACCGAGCGGGCCGCCGCGCCGGCTGCGACAGTGCGCTCTGACCGGCGTGGGGCAAATTCACAGCCTGGTAGTGACGGGGGGTCGCCAAATGAGCTCAGCAAATCGATGTTTTGTTGGTGCTTGCTTCGTGCGGGGGACGCGAATGGGGGTAGCGGGTTTGTTGGCGGTACGTGCGTGGGGTGGGGGGGGGGGGGACTCTCCTGTGCATGTTTTTTATTATCAGTCCTTTTGTAGGTCTTAGACACGTTAAGGCAGAAATGGTAAGCTGACGACGGTTGGAACATGAGTGCCCGGACATTATATGTCATATTGGCACGTTTACAGCGGGGACGGGCTTCGCCGCCGCTCCTTGAGCATGGGGGCTTATGCTAGATGTTGAGTGTTTTCTTGGGAACTTGGTCCAAATGCGCGGTAGCTCGGGCAAAATTCGTCATTTTCCTTTCACGTGTGTGATGGCATTGCCGTACTGTTATGAAATAAGCATGCGTCATAAAGCGACCTGCATTATAGATATGGTGGATGTGATAGGCTCTTGATTCGCCTCACGTACCGAAGGTAACGTGCTGCAATCTAACGTGCAGCACGTTAGATGCAGGTAACGTGCTGCATCTAACGCCACTGTCCTGTTTTCAGTGGCCGACCTGATATAAGGACGCAAGGGGAACGGTGGGAGGACACCGTCGGCTTCATCGCTCCATTTGCACTGTATTATCGTTTGAGCTCATTAACATACCCGCGCCGATGGCACCTGACATCTGAAACCCGGAGCAAAGGTCGGGGAGGATGGCATGGACGGTATGAGTCTGTCCATGCCATGCACGCTGTCACAATAAATACTGGAAAAAGCGTTGTTTTCAACGAGCTATGATAACGTGCCGCGGAAACGAGGGAAGTGGTATTTGACATTGCACTAAAAATAGAGCTGGATCTAATTGGCGTTTCTCCGCGTGTTTAATGTTAAGCCTGCTGGAGATTGAGTTGAATCCGGATTCAGCAAAATTACACTCGAGTCAAGGTATGGCTTCCTCGCATAATTAACAGATCGGAGTCGTGCTCAAGGCAAGCATATTGATCAGAATCATCCTTGCTTTAGTAAGTACAGAAAGGGATAGCAGGCCTTACTGCTGCTGATACCCCTTCAATAAAATATCCGCCTGCTGATTTTTACGTGGACCATTGGACAGTTTATGTCCTGAGCTGTCGCCGGAATGGAGTTGGTCGAAGTCGATTGCCGAGCCGGCCAATGTCTCGATTCGGAATGGTAGTTGACTGAATGTTCGCTGCACTGCTCGCGTCCAATTTGATATCAATTTCATGCGTTGTGAATCTTGGCCGAAATCTGTTCCGATGGAGTGGAGGCAAGCACAAGTTTCTTTGTTAGCTGATTTGTGCTCTAAAATCAAGCAGCTGAAATGACGGAACAGCGGCCTTTCTCGGTGTTTGTGTTGTTGGTACGTCTGGGGGAGAGGATAGTGATGCGGGAAACTGGCGCAAAAAGAGAACATCGTGAGGGCGGTTGAAGTGCTGAAAGTAGTGGGACATGCTGATATGCAATGACACGGAAGTCGTAGGTATCAGTTGTACAGGGACACATATATTGGTGAGGCGTGACTAGTGACAACTGTGCTCTCAACATTGGTGAACTCTTGGATTATCTCTCCTCTCCTATTTTGGGGCAATACTGTATTCAGCTGGCAAAGAGAAATTGTTCTGAAACCGCTGTTGATCCGCTGGCTTCTCTCTATCACAGACGGCATAGACGGTTTGTTTAACACTACCACAGGGAAAATGTTCGTGGTAAGTGCATATCGGTTATCGCTTTAAGGGCATCCGTGAGCCTGCATTGTTTGAAAAACTACTTGGGATTGCGAGGGAACAGAAGCAAGTGAAAATGACAGGCTACTAGCCCTACCTCAGCACATTTTTACTTGAAGCCAATTTCTCTGTTGACCAGAACATGGTGTTTTTGAAAGGGAAAATGTGAAAGCATGTTCTGTATGGGCAAAATGTGGCGGCAAAACCCCTTTTTGGAAACATTATAAATAAGATGATTTCAGCCACCTGCAATTGCGTCTTCGGTACTCAAACGAAAAAAAACTTTAATGTCGCGTCGATTCAAAGCTGCTTTCCTGCGCAGGAACGACTTCCAATTTCAAAAATGAATTCTAGCAGCAACGGTTAACTGGTGAGGACCGCTGTCGCTGATTGTGTCGTATAGCCATCGCAGCCACGATTATAAAATAATATAAGACATAAGAAAACACCTTCCATTGTTGGGGAACAACATAAACACGCGTCGGGCATGTATTAACTCTTATCTAGGTCACCCCTCACGCTAAGCAGTGCTTGTTGTGCGAGACCTGACCTCTACTATCCTATCACACAATGCCAGGTCGACGGCAGAATTTGGTGGCGAAAGCTTAACACGCTCCCGGGCGGCCGCCTAGATACCCTTCGCTCGGGTGGCGAGGGGGTCAATTTGACCCCAGTGGGATCTCGGGAACTAAGTAAGCTAGAGACACCAAGGTGTGTTGACCTGTACGTTAACTCACTCAAGCCAAAGTTTCAGGTTCCTAGGTCATAACATTCGGGTCAAAAAAGTCAAACAAGGTCAAGTTCCAGGCTGGTTTAAAAGTGACCGCAGAACCTAGATAACCGTTTCTAAGCAAAGGTCACATTCTCATTCAAGGTCAGTGACCTTGCTTGACCTTTTGAAGTCAAGGTGACCTAAATAATACAAAATTGCGTTTTGAGTTTTGCATTTGACTAAGCGACGAAGATTACACCAGGCGGTATGTTCCCAAAACAAAATGTTGACCTGAGTCATTTCAGGTCAATGACTTATTCTGACCTCTAAGAAGTCCATGAAAGATGTATTATGCGGTTCCTGCTAACAATAAACTCGAAATGAGCATCAGAAACTATCTCATACAGCAATCCCTGGTCACCAAATATATTGGTTTTGACCTTGGTCTGACCTTCATACCTGACTTAAGGTCAATATAATTTGTTCATTCAACTGTTGTGTTGCCTAAGAAAGCATCCCAGAGATGCATGGTTTCGTCTAACATTCCGTTGTTGGATCAGGTTGAAGGATTACCTAGAAATTGCCTTCGCTGAAACCATGGTCTGACTTTGACCTGCTATAGGTCAGCGACCTTACAAGGTACATCTAAATTTGTGATGCCAAACGATTCGCTATTCAATTGTCTACTGCTGTGCAAAATGTAGTGCGGCTTCGCCGTGCCGTTCGGAAACCATTCCGGAAAAGTCTTCGGGGGGGTCAATTTGACCCCCCCCCCCCCCACCAACCGAGCGCATGTTAAAGGGAGTGTTTACATTTAATGTGGTGTTCAACTGATATAGCATCTTGAAGGCCTTTCGATTCTATCCACGGCCGTTACTCTTTGTGAGACCTTAGTCCCTCTAGTTTCTGACCTATACGCCGCGAAAATGAGGAGTGTATTACGGGGAAAGGAGCTCGGCAAGGTCCGTCCTGCCGCCTGGTGCCAACTGATCTTCAGCGCGGCCGCTGGCACCAGCCGCAGGGCACATAGCTATCAAATGCACGTGGCGAGCGCCTTAAGCGACTCGAAGTCAGCCCGCCTCGGGTGGGTATACCAGAGAGCAGGCGCTCTAACGAACTGAGCCATCGGGATGGAAGTGTCGTAAGTTCTGTAGTTATACGGCCCGATATTCTCGTTGTACTCATATGCATTGAGGGGGCACAGAGGAGCTATGGAAGGGGGTTCATGGCGGCATTGGGGGGGGGGGCGTGTAGGCCCCCTGAAAACACATAAAGTGACGCCCCTTGGTCCTGGTTAGGTACACTACTTCATCAGCCAGTGTCCGAAGTGTTATGCAAATGTTAAACGAGTGGATTGCGGTGTCCCGGTCTTGTGGCGTCACATTACTTAGTGTTCGCTTTTATTATCATTCGTCTGATGCAATTAATCATCTAAACGCTTTTTCTGACCTCATTGCCGTTTTTTAGTTCGTTCACCACAAGAGAACGAGGGCGAAGTGGTAAACTCCTATGGATAAGAGAGCTAGCTTCAATTTGGCTCAACGTTTCTTTGGAGACCAGGCCAGGATTGCTCATATGCTTGCGGCATTTGTGGCGTTTAAAACGCACGCCCTAGCGCACGGCCATCTGGCCGGGTGGGAAGATTGAACCAGCTTGAGGGGCGATATACGTGGGGAAGGGTTGGAGCTGTGGGAGTATCAAGTGTTAGTGTGCGCGTTACCGGCTGGACAGTCTAACCTCCATCCCACAGGCTTTCCTTGGACCTGAGGTTTTCTTCAAGGGAGTCATGTCGCTAGATTTGACTGTCAAGGTGCACCCGACGGTGCTATTCCAGATTGTGGATGCGTATGAAAGAAGAACGCAAGACAAGGCCCGAATTATTGGCACTCTGCTCGGTACGTGAATGTGTGTTTAGTTGTGTTCTACCTTGTTGGTTCTTGAAATCAAGAGTTGTGGAGATGGCGGTACTTAAGAGCATAACATCCTGTGCATATAGTCCCAATCCTGATACTCATCTAGTGAGTACTCTGTGAACCAAAGATTGAGATCAAAGAAGAGTCATGGAGACGGCGGTACTTAAGAGCATAACATCCATTGCATATAGTCCCGATCCTGATACTTATCTAGTGAGTACTCTGTGAGCCAAAGATTGGCAGTGAGCTTGAGTTTGATTTGCACACTGACTTTTACGAGCTGGGAACGTTTTGATGGGGTGTGTGGTGCTCAGTTTGCATAAGAATTACCTGTGACAATGGGTGTGCTGAAGTTGTACTATTCTCACAATGTGGAGAACAGGGCTTTGTTTTTATCTGTAGGCCATGCTCAAGTCATTATCATTGCTGCATCCTTGTTTGTATTGATTAGCATGAAACCCATCAAACTGAATGAGACCAATGCTGGGTAAAAATATGTTTGGAGCATTTTGGGGTGTAGGTGTACTTTCCTATCTAACATTAGAAAAAATCATTGCACACCATTCGTCGTGTTTAAGGCGGCACATATTGTAAATAATCTCAAAACAGGTAGAATCATGCTCCTACCTTCGAATTTCAATAACTTTGATGGCGGGCTCCCGAGCGCCGCGCGCACCGCACCGCCTGGACTCCCCGGCGCCGTTTCTGCGTTGCCGTTGCGTAAATACAATATTTCTGCTTACCAGGAACTCTACGAAATGTACGGGACCAAGGTAAACCATTCGTCGTGTTTAAGGTGGAACATATCATAAATAATTTCAAAATAGGTAGAATCATGCTCCTACCCTCGAATTTTGATAAATACGATAGCGAGCTCCCGAGCGCCGCACGCACCGCACCGCACCGCCTTGACTCCCAAGCGCCGTTTCTGAGTTGTTGCAAAAGCACAATATTTCTGCTTATCAAGAACCATAAAACATGTACGGGACCAAGATAACAATAGTAAAGCAACCAAAATCGTTTCTTATCGAGTTTAGGTACATTTATGAAACACACAGGCCAGAATAGTCCAGAACATATCCTAAACTAGCCTAACCTAACCTAACCTAACCTAACCTAACCTAACCTAACCTAACCTAACTGAGAATAGACCAGAACCTAAGCTAAGATAAGCTAATCTAACCTGACTTAACCTACCCTAACCTACCCTAACCTAACCTAACCTAACTAAACCTAACCTAACCTAACCTAACCTATCCTATCCTATCCTATCCTATCCTAACCTAACCTACCTAACCTAACCTAACCTAACCTAACCTAACCTAACCTAACCTAACCTAACCTAGCCTAACCTAACCTCCCCACCCTATATCCCCTTGAACCCAGCATCCCATTGGCGTCCATGTTCCATGCCATATATAGGTGCCATATAGTGAGCTTGTATTTAGCTGCCATGTTCTCATTTTGCTTTACATTCCCCACCCAATCCCCCTGCAACCCATGGTCCCGTTGGCCTCGAGGATCAAATTTCATGGATTCTTGTCACCTTGGCCCGGTACATTTTTATGGCTCTTGATGCTGCTTGATGCGCAGTAATGTTGTGACCCGCGCAGTAATGGCGCCGGTGTCGCGGGTGCTGTGTGTGTGCGGCGCTCGGGAGCTCGCCATCGTAATTATAAAAAATTGAAGGTAAGATCATGAATCTACCTGTTTTGTGATTATTTACGATATGTCCTGCCTTATCACGACGAATGGCTTACCTTGGTCCCCTACATTTTGTAGAGTTCTTGGTAAGCAGAAATATTGTATTTACGCAACGGCAACGCAGAAACGGCGCTGGGGAGTCCAGGCGGTGCGGTGCGCGCGGCGCTCGGGACCCCGCCATCGAAGTTATTGAAATTCGAAGGTAGGAGCATGATTCTACCTGTTTTGAGATCATTTACGATATGTCCTGCCTTAAACACGACGAATGGTGTACAATGATTTTTTCTAACGTTAGGTAAGAAAGTACACCCTGACCGGTGCTGACTATGCACTGAGCTCTGAGTGTGCAGATTCACAATGTACATGCTTGTGCATTGTGGGCTCCATGTCACTGTTATCCCAGACATGTTTGGCATAATATGTAAGTATTGAAGTATGTTGTGATACTTCAGATTGGTTGCACCCCCACCATTTTTGGTAACTGTCTTTACTGTCTAGTTAAATATGTAAGGAACCATATGTATGGTTAAATGTTTATTTACAGTTAAATATGTAAAGAACCATTCTGTGTGGTGTGTTGAGTATGATCAATGTTAAGTAAAACCCTCACACATATGGGTTAGGCACTACCATGCAGTAGATTCTGTCATATATTGTTGCAGAAAATAACAGCAATATGGAGCAGGATACTTAAAGATATTGAAATTCATTGTAACACTTATTTTTAAGGTCATGTGAGGTACAGAGGGTTTCATGCAGCTGGTTAGAAACACATTGAACTAGACCCATTGCACCAAAAGAATATCTTACATTCTAGGAGAGCCTGACTGGTTGAGGCATTGGTGACCTAATGAAAGATCCCGGATTTTTTGTTTGTTTTAAATAATTTCTGAGTTATCCTGGGAACCCACTTCAGTCTCTTTGTATTTAAATTTGGATTAATTGAAAGCTGATCAAGATCATCACTTGCTCGGTTGACTGTGCTGGATGCTGTTTATTTGCTGGCAGGTGAAACATGAACATTTGTATTTTCAGGAACATATGAGAAGACCAATATCGAGGTCACAAACTGCTTCTGTGTTCCACATGCTGAAGTATCAGAAGAAGTGAGTGATCCAGGCTTAAACTGTGTAGCTTTGCTACATTATTCCCTAGTATGCTGACTCTATGTGTATGCCAGGGTTGACTTGATTTGATCATAGTTACTCTGTACACAATGGAGTGGTAGTGACTCTGTACATAATATAAGTTGTGATGAACCTATTGGTTTGCCCCACTCCACCTTGAAGCTATAGCAGGCTTTCAGCTGTTCTGTTCAGGGTCATATGTTTGATTGTCATGCATGGGACTATATCATGCCCTCAAGGGTTGTAGTGCAACCAGGATTCAAACCTGGGCCCCCACATAGGGTCCCTTGATGCTAGTTACTCAGCTATTATGCCCATGCCACTATCTCGGTGTGCCGGGCACCATGTCCCGTCATGGTGCTATCTGGACATGCTATACTGCTAAGTGACCATGCTTTGTCATGTCATTGCTAAACTATCCTATGCCGCTGACTGTGGCATGCTCCCGATCCACCACACGTGCCTCAGCCCCACCATGTCACCCTGTCTGCCACCAGCTGTTCATCAAGATGGACTTTGCCAGCGAGATGTACGAGCTGCACCAGCAGGTGGCGCCGCTGGAGGTGATGGTCGGCTGGTTCGCCACCGGGCCGGAGGTCACCGACCACTCGGTGCTCATTCACACCTACTACTCGAAGCAGGCCAAGTGTCCGACGCCCATCCACCTCACGCTCGACACTGTCATGAGCAACGGCCGGATGGGCTGGAAGGCGTACATCAGGTGCGAGCTGGCCTCGGCCGTCACAGCGCGGGCTATCGGGGCCCGGACCGCAGCCCTGCACAGTCGAGTGTCGGCGTAGATGGGCTGGACTGGCGTTCTAGTCAGTTTATATATATATATATATATATATATATATATATATATATATATATATGCCGTGTATTCGGAACGAACTTAAGCTTAAAATGTCAGTAATTTGTCTAGCATGTTTGTACGACCTACGCAAAAAAATATACGGATATCAGCACATCCGCGCGAACATTAGTTATGTTTGATATCGTCTGCTGTCCTTCGCGCACATTGCCAGCTGTGCCAGTGCTGTGCTGACTGTGGACCGCCGTTGCCGGGCAGTAACCCGATGGGGGTGCCGGGCGGTACGGGAGGCACCATGTTCAGCCCGGTGCCGGTGGAGCTGGTGGCCCACGGCGCCGAGCTGGTCGGCATCAACACGGCCCAGAACACTAAATACAGCAAGACCAAGACGTTCGAGCCGCAGACCGACCTCAGCCAGTTCACCAACGCCGTCCGCAACATCGAGGAGATGATCGACCACCTGGCCGGTGAGACGTATGGGGTCTCGCCGGGGAGGGTATGGGGCTCGCCAGGGAGGGGGCAGGGGTCTCGCCGGGGAGGGTATGGGGCTCGCCAGGGAGGGGGGCAGGGGTCTCGCCGGGGAGGGGGAGGTCCCGTCGAGAAGTGGTCCGGTGTCGGAGCGAGGCAGGATTCCGAACGCCGGCGCGCAGGACCTCGTCCGACCGGCCTCCGAAGGCTGTCACTACTCCGGTGTACTTGGGGAAGCCGCAGGCCGGGCGGATAATGTTGTTATGGAGTTTTTTGGAGCTGCGGTTTCCGGGCGCGGCCTGGCGAGTGACACGTCTAATGAACAAAATATCTTCAGCCACTGAGCGTGGTACCATGAAGTTTTAAGAACAGGGGAATGATTTTTCATTAAGCCTTCTGGAACCGTTTCAGGTGTATATTTCAGTTATTTCAGTCTCCTCGAACATCCTGTAAGGTTGCTCGATCAGGTGCCGTTTCGTGCAACGTTGCATTATCACTTAATCCGCCCCTCTTCCTTAGTTGATTGGCCCTTTTCTTGCGTTGGGGGAGGCATGTTGACGCCATGTCCAGGGTTGTTTTTGCAACCCCATTTCAAGCTACAAAACTTGCGTTTTGATCGTGACCAAACGCCTGCGTTAGGACCTCGATCGCGGCACGACCTGTGTTAGCCGCGGCTCGCCAGATGCCCCAGAGGAATTTGTCCTCTCGTGCAAGTCACAGCTTCGTGGCAACATGGGATCGCAGCTGCTCTGCTGAGTCAGCGGCGCGCAAGATGCCCGGAAGTGCTTGTTTAACGACATTGTAGGGCTTAATAACAATGATTTTGACGGGTCCCAATATCTCACGGTCTGCTCATCATCAAGAGCACTGTTTTTACACAGCCTCTCCTCCCCCTCTCTCCTCCAAAAATCGCCTGTTCATCAGAAATAACTGACCGAAGTAGTTTTTCAGGGTTTGACGAATTCAAGATGAGCCCTGGAGGATTAAGGAATATGTAACGGCCCATAAAGTGTAAAAAAATAAGAAAACGCGTGCCTGTCATTCTGCAGGCCTTGTGTAGATGTTTTGGATGAACCACATGAGCGCAACACACGTACAGCTCCCGTTCTACATCACTGAGGTCTGCGGTGTTAGCATGCCTGGTGTGTTGTCGGCACAGCTGGCTAGCAAGCCCTCAAAAGATGCAGTGGTATGGGGCGTTAATTTCGATAGCTCCCTCCCGTAGATGTTTGGCCCGCAATATGCAGAACGATGTTCTCCCGCCCATGTCTTCGGTAACACGGGTGATATTTTAAAGCGTCGGGCGGTGGAATATTTCGTTTCAAAGACGTGACGGGCGTGGCTCGACCATGGGCGGGGGAACCGCTGCAGCTGGGCTACGGCGCAGGCTCTGGACGACATGTCGCGACAGTTTATTCCTTTCTTCGTTCACTCCCTCACGCCGTGGCCCGACTGGTCTGAACGGCGGGGTCTTCGGAGACGTGGCGGGAGTTCAAGAGCCGGCCGTGGGAGACTCTTCGCCACGGCTGCCAGTGTGACGTAGTGCAGCCAGAGAAGCGACGCTGGGGTCGTTACACCCGTGCGGTGGATTTACGGAGGCTGGAACTTGACGCGGCCTGCGTCATCTGCCTTAGCCTTTTCGGTTCGTTTACAAGAACCGGCATTGCGTACATCTCGCTGGACTTGAGTGCCACCGAGGAGTCGAAGAATCTTGGAAGAGAGAGGAATCCACTGCAGGTCATGTTTTTTTGTGTTGTAACTCGCTTCAGTAATTGCCGTGGATGAGAAAGTGTATTGATTGGTGCGCGGTCGCTGACGCCGGCGTATCATCGATCACAAAAAGGAAAGGAAATCCTGTTCCTCGGACCAGTCACCTGGCATCGTACTTCAGACAACTTTTGCACAACGCACGCAGTGTATCCAACAAACCGAGAAGCTATTTGCGGAAGTCTGGAGAATGTTCCTTATCGCCCCGGAGCCAGGTGAAATTATTATTTACCAAGCGCCAGAGCTCCTCCACATTGTCCTTGAAGGCACCACAGGCCGCTCTAGAGTCGAGCCGCTCTGTTCCTCGACAAGAGCGCAGTGGAAAGAATAATCACTTGATTCCAAACCCGACCGGCCGAACACGTGATGGAGACCAGCTGAGGGCTCTTCTACGAACGGTCGAACACTGCCGCCAAACCTGTCGCGTCTGGGCTAGAGATGCGGTGCACTCTTGGTAATCTCTTTTGTCACGAGGCATGGAGGTAGAACGGAAGGACGTGGGTATCATGGATGTCTTGCATTTGTTCGGCCGTGTATCGAAACAGAGCCACATATTCATAATGCTCTGTCATCGTGTGCTTAAAACACCACCTGTTCACATGCACTGGGGATCAATATGTAGCACACGTTGGGACTCGAACCCAGCATCCCAAGATCCTAAGATCAAATAAGCTGAAATGGCAAACGTATGTGCAAAAAATGAAAGCCCGATACCCTGTGGTGCCGGGCTTTTGTTTCAAGTTATAACCTGGCAATGACTTCCACGCGACGAGGCAAAAGAACGCTTCCTGGAAATGGCACGCACACTGTCGGTGTTGATCCTATTCTTATCATCTATCGACTCCTTGACATTTGCAAAACTACGTGAAAGTAGTTTTGCCGGCGGTCTTTCAGAATAAGGACATTCTGGGCGTTTGTCGGCTGCGGATGGCCGCTGGCTGACGGAATAACAACAGTAAGCTTAGGTCACAAGGTCAATAATCGCCCCACGAACTATGTTCTGCTGCAGTTTGTGGGTGGACTTGCCCGCACACCATCCTCTGATTTGAATGTGAGACTTCTCTTGAACTGTCATCGTCAGCTTCAGTACAGGACCGGAAGTGCGCTGGACGTGCGGCCTGTTCAGTGGCAGGCTTGCATCGCCCCATGTCTGACAGGTATCTCTCAAGCACTCTGCATAGAACGTCCTTACGATTTGTCTTATTTCAACTTCGGTAGGCAGCTGGAATTCTGTGGAACGCTTGCAGTGCCGCGCCTGCGTTGGCCGCCGCCTGGAAGATGTCTGCGCGGGGATTGTCGTGGCCGCCGCTGTGTGACGCGTGGTTCGTCCGCTGTGTGACGCCGCGTGGTTCGTCCGCTGTGTGACTCGTGGTTCGTCCGCTGTGTGATGCGTGGTTTGTACGCTGTGTGGTGCGTGGTCCGTCCGCTGTGTGACGCGCGGTTTGTCCGCTTTGTGACGCGGTCCGTCCGCTGTGTGACGCGCGGTCCGTCCACTGTGTGACGCGTGGTCTGTCCGCTGTGTGACGCGCGGTTTGTCCGCTGTGTAACGCGGTCCGTCCGCTGTGTGAAGCGCGGTCCGTCCGCTGTGTGACGCGTGACCCGTCCGCTGTGTGACGCGCGGTTTGTCCGCTGTGTGACATGGTCCGTCCGCTGTGTGACGCGTGATCCGCCCTCTGTATGACGCGCCCTGATGGCCGCAGTGTACGTGGACGACGTGCTGTCGGGCAAGACGCCGCCGGACGCGACGGTCGGTCGACAGCTGCTCGACATGGTCCACTCGGTGCCAAAGATGTCCCAGGAAGAGTTCGACGAGATGCTCAACTCTAACATCAAGGTGAGCCCACACACTCAGCGGCTGGCTTTGTTGGTGCGGCACAGCAGTTACGGAGGGCTGCTTGTTGCGTGTTGCTGTGGTCATGCAGCGCGGGGTTTTTGTTCACACGTTGAGCTGGTTGTCACCAGGGAACCGCGTCGATCACAGCAACACAAAACCGCCCCGCCGTTCGCCGCTCCAGTGTTCTGGTCATGGTGGGCGAACAAGATGCACGAATAGCACTGCACGTGTCGGCGTGTCGCAATGGGCTGCGTGCTGGGCGGCGTTTCGGCACAGCCACAAGTGTGATTGGTATCGGTGCTTGTCCTCTCGAGAGTCGTTGCTCCCCCCCCCCCCCCTCCCCGCCTTCCCCTCCATCCGCCCTGCGCACCACTGGCAGTGACCCGCCGCGCTCTCCCTCCCGCAGGACCTGCTGATGGTCGTGTACCTGTCGCAGCTGACCAAGACGCAGATCCAAGTCAGCGAGAAGCTGAGCCACTTGAAGCTGTGAGCGGTGCGGATGGCGTCAGCCACTGCCCATTTATCCGCTCGGGGGCTTGTGGCGCTCGTAATACATGGCCTTGGTGTAAGGAGCGGCGGTGTTTGTGCCAGCGACGGCGCTCTCCCGGCCGGACCGAACGTCCACTCGTCGCCGACGAGGCTGCTCAGGGTTGGGGGGGGGGGGGGGGGAAGGGGGAGGAGGGACGGAGGAGATGGGCCGGCGGGACGGGACGGGCGGCCGCATGTAATCACGTGTCGGCGCGGCGGAGGTATTCACTGCAGCGGTGGAAATGGAGAACGGGGAAAAGCATGCATTGCGAGAGGCTGGCAAGGATACGGGGACGTTTATTACGACGAGCGGCGCTTGGCATTGGCTGAAGCCTGCTGACGCGAGTCGGAGGTGGTTTCTCGTGCAATTACCTGCAACGCCAAAGGGGATGGGTTTGGAATCGAGCTCTGCGGTGAAATTGCATTTCCCTTGAAACTCACACTGCGTAATGGGTTCAGAGCGGTGATCCTGAAAGGTACACAAGGTCAAGATAATTCGTATATATAAGTTGAAATGATCTACGACGTAGCCCCAGTTTGCTGCCGCTGCAGACGTTTCATGTGTTTAACGTCGGTGGGGGGCTACTAATTTGCCTGTGGGGCGTGTGTAGTGGGGTCGGGTTAAACAACTGGTGGGGACCGGTTACATTCCGAAACAACCAGTAAGATGCCTTGTTGGACGTCGAAGGTAGAACGTGGGACGAGCAAGGTGTTATACAAAATATTTGAGGGTTATTAGTACTCTCATGCAGGTGATACAAAAAACCAAGTAGATGGAGCCATACATTTGGCGACGCATGCTATCTGGTTTGGTTCGTGCATTGGAAATTTCGCTGTTTGTAGGAAGCTAACAGACGTAGATTCGCTGACGTGGCTTCCGCGCGCTAAGTCACGAACGGCATTGTTTGGAAAAGTACACACTTGTGCCAGGCTGGCCGGGCAGTTTTAGCCAATGAAATAATCAGTTGCAATGATACCGCCTTGAACAAGAGCCAGAACATTGTGAGGACCATGTTTGGTGAGGGAGCTGGTCACTACATACAGAGCTACATGCTCGCGCAGTTTCGTGATTGGCATGTTTCGTGCGCCAAGCCACACCGTTCGTATATGCGAGATCGGTTTTGGGAGGATGTGATATTGGCTTCTTTTCGGTCCATTATCGGCGCTCCGGTCGGTCGGACGGTTCCGTGGTGCTTCGTGAAGTAGCCGGTACATTACCTACATCGTGCACATGGTTTGTCGTCGCGGTCCGCCTTGGCTGCTGTGATGGTCTGTCTTAAATGAGGAGCTCCATCGTCTGGTCTCTGTCCACCCGCTGGTGGTGGACACCCGTTCTGAATTAGCGTGGCAAGAGGAGGGCTTGTTTAACACTTGAGTTCAAATCGACCACTGCGTCATGCGGCGCGAGCTGGTCTGCCCCATGGGACTGACATTAGCCGGCGTGACCTGCTGCCTGCGACATTACATCTCCCCTTTTCCCGAGACCCGCTGCAGCATTGGTCCGCGACCCATGCTAAATAGATTAGAAAGCAGGTTACCTATTGTGATCCATGGCGTTTGAGGGCTGCGAATTTGCGCGTGGAATTGGTGCGATATGATACATTTTCAGGCCGAGATGGTCAGCTCCATGTCATATGAGACTTAGAGCGGCGAAGAATGACGATTGCCTCGTACTTATCTGTTGCAAATTTGCCAGTTGCGAAGAGGTGTTAGAACGCAAACCATAATGCATAGGTTTTCAAACCATAGTACTTTTTGGTATGAGCAAAAACACTAGCGCCTGGTCTTCGGCATTTCGAATTTTACGTTGGGAAAAATATTGACGGGCGAAATGCTAGGTGTTGGCTAAACGACGTTAGCAGGCAAGCACTGGTTTGCTTGACATTAGGAGACATGGTCACGGGCAGCCATGAACACCGTCTCGAAACGCCGAGTTCACTTACAGAATATCCAAACGCTTGATATGTGCCGAAACTTGCCAAAGACAGGTCTGCAGTTTGATCTCCGGGAACGCGAGAGACTAAGCTTGGTGGCCGTCGGTCGAAGAAGTATACAAATTACCCACTTGTATTTGGGACTTGCATCCACCCATCGAGTCTATATGCAGAGTTCAGATACAGGATGGATGATTGTGATTTTGGGGCCCCTTTGTCCTGGAGTCTCCCAACGTCGTATGATTTGAAGGAAGTGTGTTACGCGAGATGTTCGACAGCAAACAAGCCGTCATCAGCACAACGTAAAATCCGTAATGGAAACTGCCATCTCCGCAAACTCAGTCCTTAATAGTTGTTTTATTCTGTAAAAACATTGCACGTCCTTGCCGGCTGGATTAACATCTTCCGGTACCACTTACAAAAATAGACATAACAATACACTGGTCCACGTACATGCCACGCCAACCCCACGTCTCAGGCGTGCCCACACGCCCACGCGTCCGCCCACGGGCACTGACGCGGCGCCCGCGCCCCCGCGCCACTGGGAGGCGGCTGTCCCGGACGCGTGTCTTGAGCAGACGGCGCACTGGTGGCGGCGAGGCCGTGCGGGGACTCGGCCGGGTCGTGCGCCGCTCTGCTCCCGACACGCGTCCGAGTCACGGTCGGGGCTCGCCGCGGGACGTGAGAGACCGGGCGGGGCGAGGCCGGCTCGGCCAGCGGTTTGATTACGAGTGACGAGTCTGGTCGCTTCGGGATATGACGTGCCGTAGGCAGAGTAGGTACGATTTTGCCGGCCTATCTCAGACCTGTGCGCTGGGGTGCGTCGAATGTGTCGCTCACTAGGCCGGAATGTCTACTTTAAAAGACCATACCCAGAGCAGAGAGTGACTGAGACTGGAGCTGAGTGAAGCGGGGAGAGTGGCAGTAGAGATCCAGTACTGACATCTGACCCGGTGAACCCCGCGCCGAACGCATCTGCAAGAACTATTGTTGCTTTCGACAGGGGCGACTTTGTTATTTGTTCATATTGCGGACAAGGGCGGAGCTTCCTCAGATACAGGAGGAGGGGAGGGGGGGGGGGGGGTAGTTCGATGTTTTCTGCACGATGCCAACATGCCATGTGCAAAATAATGAAACGTTGGAGGGCTGCACCATGGCGCATAACCTACAAACCACGAAAAATCGTTTTCTACATGACTGATGATTTGTGACGTAGCGATGAACTTATCAGTTCATTTTCTAAGGGTTACAAGCTCTGGACGCTACCGATGCCTGCTCGCAAGACAGGTCTTTTAAATCGGGTTGCCATTAATTTAGACCCCCGCAGTGGTTTCTTCTTTTTAAACACGCCATTTATATTACTGACTGATATTTGTGAAATAACGCGGCGGGATTTGCGGGAACATCTGTTTTCAGAACCAACGTTTTTTAAGAATGCGCATATTTACGTGCCTTCCGAGGTGGACTACGAGTACCTTCAGCATAATTGCACGAGATAGCGTAAGATATGGTGACCTTGTAAATAGTGTCTCATCGCAATGAAAATTCTGAGGCCAGCATTACTAAAAGGAGCGCTTAAGCTAATGACTTGTTTTGTATTCCGTAAGATGTTGAAGAAAGGGAAGTTGTAAAAATGAAGCGTGACATGCTGCCAGTGACCAAACTGAGGATAGACACCGTCCATGCAAAAGCGTGCTAACTTTCGTTCGCAGGTTTTAAATGTTGATCGGAAAACTCGCCGGAGGGGAATGTTGCACCTACCCTTTGGATGCCGATCTGCGGACGATGGGTGTCAAAGTGATAGGAGTTATGCCATGTAGCTGCATGCTCTAGGAGCAAAACCTAGTCGGCACTGCGCGCACATACTCAGGACTGCCATGTGTAGAAGGTTGGCATGATTGAATGGAAACGGAACGTCAAAATTCCGCCCAGCAGGGTCCAACTCGACTGAACGTTTAAAAGGGCTGGGCCTGCCTTCGACACGCAGACACGCAGTCAAGGGGCTCTCAAGGTTCCCCATCCCCCTTATTCAGGAAATTTACATAGACTTTGAACCGTGAATCGGGCATCAGAACATCAACAGCACTAAAAGCCTTACTTTACGAAGATATGATGGTTAAGGGCCTGTCGGCACCACAAGTTTTTTCATGACACATTTCCGGAAACAGGCGGACATGAAACATAAAGTAGCTTTTCATTCCCAAGAAAACGAAATCCGAAGATACTGTCAATTCTGCGCTTTGTCTTTTATCGCGACGCTATGGACACGATGAAAATACAAGCTTAAGTACCCACCATTCATGGGGCCAGTGTTAAGACCAAAATTTTGCAGAATTACCGGAGCGTAAAGAGAAAACTTAGCCCCAAAAAAGATACCAAGTTGATCCAGAGAGTGTGACGCAGCTTTCTACACAGTCGGTTAGCTCAAATACAACTTTGTCAGTGGGCCTAGTCTCCTGATGCAGTTTTTAGCTCGAGATTGCGATGTGAATCGGTGCCGCCTCGGCCTGACGGACCCCACCCACGAGACACCCGAGGCCCGACGCCGGCAACGAGTTCCGCCACGCCGCGCGGACCACACCAGTGCTATCTATCGGTTACACCAGCACTACATTGATCACAGAGCAGTATGGTTGAGGCTGTCGGGAACTGGCACGAGAGTCACGCGCCACATCAAACGAGAGGCGAAACGAGCGGGACACGCCGCACAAACGGGTAAGCAAAGCGTGGCACAGCCTGGCCAGTGCTCACGTGGCCGCGCGGCACGCCGGCGGCAATGAGACGCGCGGAATCGTCACGAGACCGTCGCGGAAGAACACACGGTCGACCGCGCAAACAAACACATGTCGTGATCGAAAAACCATACCGGCAACGCAATCGTACACCAAAACGAAACGAAGGCCTCGGGTGGCCGGCCGCTCACAGAACCAAGCCGCCGTGTGCACATAAGACCACTGAGCTTGCGTGGCGCGCCGGCCCGGGCGGCGGCAGGGGCCCACCGCCGGCAGCGGGCCAGCCCTCGCCGCAGGCCGGGTCGCACCTCGCTGAGCACCCCGCCGCGGCGGAGGGTCGGCTGGCATCGGAAGGCCAACCGCCGGCGCGCGGCGCAGACAGCCGCTCCCACCACATCAAAAGCAGCGCCCCTCAGCCGCACGCACACCCTACGAAAAATACGATCAGGACTACATCCAGTTGTCTGTCCGTAAGCGTATGACGACCTGCGCGGCCGACAAGGCCCGCTACAAACCGTTGTCGAAAGATCCCCACTCGCTGCTGAACTTGGAGTCCTGACGACTCATCTTCTGCTGGCACGCCTCCAGGTAGCTGTCCTGGATGCGGTACATGCCCGAGTTGGCCTGGAACATGAGCGTCTCCAGGATGCGCTCGTTCTTGATGGCCTTACTGGGCAGCACGATCTTGATGAGCTCCTGCGGCGAGATGCGGTACAGCTTGAGGTCGCGCGTCAGCCGTTCCATCGTGCACTTGAACTCGATGCGCGCGTCCACGCGGCTCGGCGCTTTGGTGCGCACCTTGTGCTTGGTCCACTGCAGCATCACCTCGAACTTGCGAATCTCGGGCGTCTCCAGGTTGCGCGACATGATCATCTGCACCATGGACTCCGAGAGGCCGAGGAAGTCGCCCGACTGGAACACCTGCTGGCGGGACGGGCGGGGGTCACACGGCGCTACGACAGACCGCCACGTGACCGCTGTCTCTGACGTCACAGCCGCATCACATTACCACGGCCCACGCCAGCTAAATCCAATCATATTCCGGCGACTGATGCGGCCTTCATCCATGCAAATGGTGTTCAAAGGGGCCCACGCTCGCCTGACGTCGGCGCGGTTCCCCGCCGTGGCTGACCACGGCCGGCCGGCTCGTCAGCACAAATCACCACGGGCAAGTCACACTCGGTCATCTGGGCGGTCTGGAATAGCATTAGGAGTGCGTCTGTTCCCCACGTGATGCACAGATGGCCCGGGATTGTCGGCGATTGGAAATAGGCGCAACTCCATCTACGTGTCACGTCCTCCATCTGGGTGCCGCCCGAACTGGCGCTGCCGACACCCACGCAATTCTGAGCGCATTCTATAGGCAAAACAGGCCGGTTTGTTGGGTTAGGCTACGCTGAGTGAACAGACAACGCATTTCGAGGAATACGACATGGATATGCTACAACGGTGTCAGCTTTCAACCAGAGGCAATGGCTTCTGGCGAAAATACACGAGATGAAGGTCTGGTGGGTCACTATGGCGATAATGATAAGGCGTGTCACCTGCGCAGCTCTGGTCTCGATGAAGGCGAGTATCATGTTGACCAGCTCTGACGCCGACGTGTACCTCCAGTAGTAGTTCTCCAGGGCACTGAGCATGGCGCATACCTGGAACCGAACGAATCGATGGAGACTGCGGCGTCGCATGACGCGGGCGGCCAGCAGCGTACGGTGCACGCCAGCTCGGAATGTTCGTAGTGCCTCGCCTGATCATCCTCTGAATATTTCGTCTTGCCATTTGCGGAAATCAAGTCTACCAGCATGAATAAAGACCACCGACTTGGTAGCGTTGAGTAGTGGCTGTTAATATCGATAGCCCATGCATACTCAATCACTTACGCGCCGTAAACGGATCATGCAAAAAGGAGCGATAAAAAAGGAGCAAAAAGCGAGCGAAAAAGATCTTGTCGCCGACCTCTTGGTCGCCTGAACATCGCTTGCGGAACATGAAACAGATGCACGTGAGGGGAGGTGGCGTCAAAGGTGGAAATACCAAGCATGTTGCGGCTTTTTAATGAAATGGCATGTTTATATTCGAACTTGGATGCCAAAGTTAACTCCGAATACGTTGTGCGCGAAATGTGCAAAATTACGCTGGGTGTTACCTGAGAATTTTCCATAATCATGCTGCACAACGTAATCTGTCCCCCTACCTATTACAGACCATTAACTGATATTCAGTTCGGTCGTTCGTTGCAATTATTTCGTCCCATAATCCCTCTCGATCATGACATTCGCCAGATGTTACAGATCCGGGCATCCACGCACTTTGTCTGGGGGTGAACGGCTCCGAGTTCAGTGGAAGACGGAAGTATGACAAGTTAAAGGTCTTTCCAATCGTGCTGCCAGAAGCTGGATTGTTGATGCATCAGTACTTTCCAACTGTTTCACAGTATTCAGGATGTAAATCTCGTAATCTGGGAATAAGAGTTCGACACTGGGTCGCTCACATATGACTAAAATGTCCAAACCACATGACCCCAGTTCCAGAGGCTCCCAAAGGACAGCGCCCACTGGAACTGGAGCCCGCCTGCAGACCATTACGTAACCCGTTGTACACAGTACCCGGCAAACTCTGAGGCAGACAAGTAAAGCCGCTCTGTTGAATTGACTCTGTTCACTGAGCGTGCGGTAGATCCACACCTGCCGCTGCTGTCTGGCACATTGTTCCCGCCGGCAGAAAAGCCAGAAACGTCTGGTGTCCTCGTTACAGCGGCGCCCGCTGCGTGCCGCTTTGTCCCGCAGAATACGTGAATAGTGTCAGGTGCTAAGCAATTCGCTAGCTGGGCTGAGCGACTGCAATATAGGCGTCTTCGGCACCAGGTTAGCACCCTGGTAAGGCTGTTCGTCCCAATGATTGCTTACTAGCAGACAGCAACGCAAATAAACGGAAGCACATGTACCAAGCCACTGGCTATTGGAATATGACTAAATACTGCTGCAATGCTACTTTCGCAACGTATGTAGCGGATAGGTTGGAACTCATTCTTAACACTCGGTGCTGGCATTTAGCAAAAGCTGCGCAAAAAGCATTTTATCATCGCCGAGCTCATCACCGAAAGCGATTCTTCGGGAGTATGAGTAATGCCAACGTGCGTCCTCTTTACGACAGATTTCAGGAGTTTGCACATCAGACGTAAGCAGATGAAAGAAACTCTTTCCATCCATTTGAATGCTGCTACAACATAGGGCGATTAATCTCACTTAAACGAGTAGCTCTCCACCAACTCGAGACACAATACCCGGCCAGTGAAAGCCCCCCCGCACCGACTATCATCCCCGAACTCGCAGCAAATTGTTTCACACGGTCGAAGAAGACCCATCACAAGCGCTCGCAGCGTTGCAATGGAAGCGCCTGCAACAGTTTGCGCAAGTTTGAGGTTTTTCCAGTCATCTTTCTGGGGTGGATGCTGAAGGCATTCTCTCGACGTTGCTATGCTGCCGATAAATTTTCACAAGTGTTGCAGAGGTTGTATAATTTTGCAAACCTGGCTTACAGACAACCGAAGCAGAGACGTGACCTAGAACCACCCGTATGCTCTCGTAAAGGAGAAAAGCTTTAGAAAAAAGTTGTAAAACGTTTGCGAAGTTTGCAGAATGTTGCCAAGGCGTTTTTCAGTAAAACGATGCAATCCAGAACCACCGCCGTTGCACTTGCCAAGCACAAAGCTCTCAAGGAAAAAATGAAGAATTATTGCAGATTTCAGAATTTTTGCTGAGGCTGTTTTTAGTTGAAAAAAAACAGGGTAGAGTCCTAGAGCCTCATTTATTGTCCACACAGGGCAAAAGAGTGCCAAACTAAATATTTCAAAATGTTTTCACAAAGTTGCAGAATACTGCAATGGTAGTTTACTGCTACGCGAAGCAGAGTAGCAAACAGAATCCCCTCCAGTGTTCTGACAGGGCACGAGAGCTCACAATAAAGGATTTGAGAAAACAATACAATATTGCACATGATGCTGCATGAACACTCGTTGCAACACCACACATTCACCATCAAGAGTGAGAGCACCGAGGGGTGGGGGTGGGGATGGGGTGGGGGCAAGCAATGGTACTCCCCGAAACTTCAATAAAACCTAGTATTTGCCACTTGAACTCAGTAAAAATTTGAGCTGGACTCATGCAGTGTTACACGCCAAAAAACGATTGAAGGACGTTAATTTCTCTCCAAATCTTCGGAGAGCTCTCACTCCCGCACTCACCACTTCGGAGAGCCCTCACACCTCCACTTCGGAGAGCTCCCACACCTCCACTTCGGAGAACTCCCGCGCCTCCATTCACCACCCGCACCCCTAGCCACCCCCTGGCTTTATGTAATCCAGCCCGTCCCGCACACTCACCACCTGTACTCGCAGAAACTGTTTGGCGTGGTGGAAGCAGGCCTGCAGCAGCTCTGGCAGGTCGTAGTGCTCGGCGGCGCAGATCAGTCCCGGCACGTTGGTGCAGGTCAGAGGGCACGAGCCGTGGTGCAGGTAGTCCAGCAGCACGCGGAACGTGTCCGCCTCGAACTCGATGATGGTGAACTGAAAGGAGCGGCGCGAGCTGCTGACGCTGGTGCGTGCGGGCCGCATGAGCGCGAGTGGTCCGGGGGCGGAGTTCCACTCAGCCAGTGCAGCCAAGGTCGCCGGTTCAGTGAGGGATCGAATTCTGTGAGCTCAATATTCGCACTTTGTGAATGTTCTGGTAATATGCTGATCAGAACAGGCTCGATATTTACTTCCGTTTCTGAGTGTGACGTTTGTGCGCCTAGACCACTTTGGTATATCGCACTTTACTAGCATTCCCTGCAAAGCCTCACAAAAACTGTTTTTCGTCGAATTGGTGGTGCTTGGTTAATGACAACCTTTTGTGGCGATACCAGGAGAAATCAAAAGCAACTTTTCTTGCTATCAATCTTCACAATTGCCATCTTTGCAGTGGAATACCGCAATAATCCAAGTTTGACATTCTTAAATCAACGCTCGTTTGGCATGTTTTAATTGCATGAAGTTTGAGGTTTGTTAGGCAGGTTCTTGATCGAAAACGTTTTGCTGCATATGCCAGAATGTCACAGCGCATCTTTCACGATAAAGAGCTTCTCCCAACATTAAGCCAGATTGAGTTACATAATGCTGACCTTATACAATAACTCCCCGCAGAATACCATAAGCAGCAGCGGTACATTTTATATTCTCAGTACGTCAATATTGCCGCAAGAATTGAACGGCTTATGACAACATGGACGACAGCAAAATAAACGAAACCTCACAGCACTTTGTTCAGACAGCATCAATCGACCTAATGTGCCCTACAAAATGCCAAACGAGGACATAAAAGGTAAATATTACTACATGCGTATTTGTTGAGCGTATTTGACCTGTTGTGCGTATCTGACCAGAGATGATTGACTATGATGGCTAACTCCATTTTTTCGGCATCACCTAATCATGTCATACAATAAAATACAGCCAATCATTGGAGGAAAAGTCCTTTAGAACCCAGCATCCTGCCAGACTCGCTGTGATTGAAGGGAAAGTGCGACCGGCATGCCTTTGACAAAAGATCACCGCCAGAACCCTATGAAATGAAGAGCTTTTTATTTGAATATAAGCTGTATGCATGTCGACACTTCCGCCCGCGCCAATCTGGATTTATATATGTTATGGTGTTCAAAAAGAAGAAAAAAACATCACAGGTCTATATGAGAACTTTACCGCCTGGCAAGGACCAGCACCAAAACTATGGGGTTTAAATAAGCAAGCATGCAGCCTGTAGCAAATCTTGCCATTTTTAAATGGGTTTAGGCCTAGCACCGCCGACTGTGGGATGCTGGAATTACAACGTCATAGAAACAGAGATTTAAAACGCATTAGACAGGATCGAGCATAGACGGACCACAGTCGCATGATGAGCCAACAGGTGGTTTAGTTTATGTTTTGTAAGCATACTTTCCAGCTGACCAGAACACTTTGCCTGCAAGGCACTCCACAACCGCGTTTCCCGTATGACGCACGTAAAACCAGTAAACTTTTTAAACCCCTAACTTTTGGGTTCGATAAATACGAAACTTCTAAGAAACCTTGACCAGCGTCTGAAGTCATGCAATTGGAACGAAAGCTGCTGCCTCCAGATTCTGGACTGGCGCTAGCACGGGCCCACGTAGCTGATCTGAAATGTCCTCCAAGACGTTGGTAAATTCCGAAGCGAGAGAAAGTTATTTAATTTTGCAACTTTTCAAACTCCGGCATGCACTCATGCCGCCGTGCACAAATCGGCAAAAAGATAAGAGCCGATATTGGCGCTGGAGAGGCCCTTGAACTAAGCACTTGCAGTCTAAACTATCGGTTTCGTGTGAATCGGCCCCGGTTGGATTCGAAGAGAACGCATCTGACCGTTTTCATCCTCACTTGGATGATCCTCACCTCGACATTGTGGCGCTTCAAATTCTGTACTGTCTGCCAATATAACATGTCATGATTAGCGATGCTTGGGCAACGAAGATCTGTAACGGCATGCTGGACAGTTACACGATTCTTCGTTGTTCTGAAATATGTCCCTAATTTTCAGAACCTAAAAATTCCTCTGTAAGATATCTAGCTCTACAGTGTGTTTTAAATTAGCGCAAAAAGTTTCACCCTTAATTGACTTTTATTCTTCCCCTATATTCCACTCCTGTAGAGAACACCAATCTAATACAAAGTAATGTTCTTCACGAATGATGTTTGTCACAGGCGAGCACGACTCATTTGCTCGCAGATCCATGGATATAATAACAAAATATCGAAGGGCATAAATGGTCAGACGTCTGGACCGCGATGTCGTGAACCCGAAGGCCTTCGACTGAGTGTCATTCGCTGACCCGCCACGCGACACACGTGTGATTATGTCGCCGGCGACCCCAGGAGATAAGTGAGCCGTGAAGTCAACGCAACACACGGTTCGCGGTTCTGGCACCTTGCACATCTGTACCGATAAAAGGTAACTGCATATGCCTTTATGTGCAACGCTGCATCTGGGTAGGCAGCTTTGGTGGCATACTTGACCATGCTGGCTAGTGGTAACCCCACCGAAATTCGTAGGTAGCACAACTGCTCTACTGTGTACTTTTCCTACTTAACCATAGGACTTACGTGCTAAAGGCTTGCTTTTCACAGACTGCGAATCGAATTCTATGGAGACAATTTCGGTGAGCCAGGCACCAAACGAAAGGTTGTTGAATTGCCCTGAGCCGACCCATTGCCAATTTTTGTCTAGAGAAACCAAACTCCCACGGCGCACCGGGTCAAAGTTTTCGCACCCGCTGCACCGTTCACTTTTCGACTTTTACGGCATGTTCAATCGATGGCGGCGGATCCACAGTCGACTGGTTATGTGCTCGAAGCCAAGGCGTCACAGAACTTCTTACCGGTGCCCTATGGGATATACTAAGTTGTTGCCATCAGCCCAAGTATGCTGTTAGTGCTACGTGGTGTACAACTCCTTGCGTGTTTCTAGCAAAAAAATCTGGGCAAAACATTCCTTACAATTCAATTTTGTTTAGTATTGTTCATCAGCGCCACGCTACCCTCAGTTGCCAAATGCCAAATATTCAGTACAAAATGGAAATCCAGCCTACATTACACGTCAAAAGTATTTTTAGTTAAATATTGCAGTTTTTTGTACTGAACTTTGTTCTAGTCAGTATGTGTTATCCTGGGCTAGTGGCACCCCATGACAACGATAGGTTCAAGCCGCACCTTTATCAGCAACACCGTATGCTGAACACATGCGTGCACTTCACATGAAATACAATCAGTTCACTTACAAAGGGGAACCCATATTATCTTTGATTGGCAGTTCACCACCCATTACACACAGCCACGCAGGCACTGCATCGTAACGTAAAATGCGCTTTAACACGCGCCCGGGTGGCCGGTTGAATATTCTTCGCTCGACTGGGGGTCAAGTTGAGCCCCTGAAATCTCGGAAACTAAGCTAGCTAAACACATCAAATTCAAAGGGTGGATTGACCTGCAGTTGAATTCACTTGTGTCAACATTTAAAGCTCATCAGTCATGACTATGGATTCAAATAGGGTCAAACAAGGTCGAACTCCAGGTTAATGTCCAAAGTGCCCGCAGACCTCCTCATACAACCGTCGCTAGTCTAGATACCCGCTCTAAGCAAAATATCACTGATGTTCGTTCAAGACCAGTGAATTTACGTGGACTTAAGGTCAGGGTGACTAAAGCCTATGCGATTGCTGCTACTTTTCCATTCAATTCAGCGCCAGGGATTACGGTAGGTGGCATGTCACTAAAAACAGAATGTTAGCTGGGTCATTTTAGGTCAGTAGCCTACTCTGACCTTCAAAAGTCCATAGAGCATATCTTTTCGGTCTCTGTCATAAAGCAATTCGAAATGAGTACCACACACTACACCATAAAGCAAGGCCGCGAGTAAAAAAACACATTAGTTCTGACTTCGATCTGACCTTCATACTTGACCCTAGGTGAATGGGATTTGTTGTGTTTCTGAATTCAGTCGGTTCATTGTCTAGAAAACCATCTCAGAGATTATGGCTTTGTCTTATCCTCCACTGTTACAGGACTCCCTAAAAGTGGCCTTCGCTAACAGCCACGCCCTTTCTTTGGACTGCCGTAAGCCAGCACCTTTACAAAGTACATCTAGTTTTTCCAGGAAAATATCCACTGCTTGATTGCTTGCAGCTATGCAATTGTGACGCTGCTACGCTGCGCTTACGGAAAACCATTTTGAAAAACTTCGGGGGGGGGGCGTTCCTTCTTAGCCCTCCCCCCTCCCCCGCCCCACCCGAGCGTGTGCCCCTTGTGTCAGCCCCGGTAGCTGCTTCATCGCAATCTTTGTCCAGAGACCACCAACGCCGACCAGTGGGGCCCGTGTTAGCCTGAGAGTCCAACCCATGGCCCTTCCAAGCCCTTGCCTTTGCTCCTACCCGTACCCCTGCCCTTGCCCCTTGCCCTGTCCTGGCCCTGGCCCTGGCCCTGGCCCTGGCCCTGGCCCTGGCCCTGGCCCTGGCCCTGGCCTTGCCCCTGGCCCTGCCCCTGCCCCTGTCCTCACCTCTCCCACGCACCGTCTCTGCCCTGGAACTGCCCCTGCCCCCACCTCTCCCGCGCGCCACGGCCGCTTACCTCACTCTGACAGAGTTTGGAGCGGTCCACCTTCTGCTCGTCAGCGCAGACGGAGAGCCGCGGGACGGCCAGCTGCTGCTGCTGCTGGTGCTGCTGCTGGGCGCTGCTCGGACGCTCCACCTTGTGTTTGTCTGCTGGCAGGAAGGTCAGCCGTATAAAGGCAGGGGACCTGACTGTGGAGCGCAGACTGCCGCGGCCCGGCCAAGCCGCGACCGCCCACGGTCCGCTGCTGAATCGACACAGCCAGTCACGTAAGAAAACTTGTCCTCAGGGACAGGAAAATGGCAATTTTTGCCGAAATTCTGCGAGTTAGACCGCATTCGTGCGAAAATGCCCCGTATCTAGTGTAAATGTATTGGGAAGGGAAGCGTGTGTGCCCCCCCCCCCTCCACCTGGCCATGTGCCGGAATACAGTTAAGTTGGCTTCTCTATAATTTCAGGAGGACCATTAGACCATTACAACTCTACTCAACCACGGGGCAGAGCAGGGCAACGTTGCCATCGGTCCTTGCCAATCAGCAGCGCCACGGTCCCACGCCGCGACGATACTGCTGCCGCCGAAATGAGAATGACGCGCATCCCATTCACTAGCAACGTCGAAAGCAGGCGCCTGCCGCCGTCAGGAAAGCGGAGTGAGCACTGACCGGAACAGTCCTGACTGCTGGACCACTTCTTGCGATCGTCGGTGGTCAGTCGGCTCGCCTCGGGCGGCTTCTTGCTGGTGCGCCCCCAGCCGGCGGTGATGCTGCCCAGACGGCTGAACGCTCTGATCACCATCGGTGAGTTCGGCACGCTCTTCGGCCTGCGCGGACACAGCGGGGGCGAACGTCACAATCGGACATCGGTGCGGCTTACGAACATCTGCGCCTGAAGGATTAGGTAATTGGTGAACGTGAAGGTTAGTTTCCTTGAATTCATATCACAAGGGATGTGACAATAACGGCCTCATTTCGCGGCTGAATTGTCCCATGTTAAGTTCCTTTCCTTCAGCTTAAAGCTCTGAAAATAACCAATTGTGTGGGATACAAAAACCTTACATGAGGTATTGTTAGCAAAATTGTGCTCAGAGTGCGATAACGTTACTAGTGCAATAGGAAAACAGTTATATTTTGTTTGTGGTAGTGTTTCAAATTTTTTTCTCATGCATAGCCATCAGGATTAGCAAGTCCTGAAGAACCCGTATATTTAAGTAGACCCATTGATGATTGTAGCATCATGAACAACTCACTCTGATTCCGACTCGCACTCGTTTTTTTCAAATCAACATATCAAACTATCACTCCGCACAAATCTTCCGGGTTGTAGAGTTGGTGACGACTCATTCAAAGTCTGGCGCAAGTCTGGATGTGGCCTGGCTTCCACAACTGGCGTCATTCGCATCTAAGACGGCCACGCAATTTCGTTCCGTTCGCGCGTCCTACGGACCACGCGAAGGAGGTTTTACGTCTGTAGGGGAAGGAGCTCATTCGAAGCAACGCTCTGAAATATGTTCAATGGCACATAACTAAGCTCTAAACGCCGCCAATCGACCACCAAGCCCGGGCGTCTGCCGCCGGTAAGACGCGCCGTCGGGTCGACGCGCCATCCCAGCAGATGGCGCGCCAGCAGACCAGCTACACCTGCTGCGACAGCGGATCAACAGATCCGCCTGCCTGCGGCGCCCAACACGAGGACGAAGGCGCCTGTGTTCCGCGGCGTGGCTGAAACAACAGACCGATCGCAGTCCGGAAATAGCGGGTCTCTGTGTGTGGTCGGCAGAGACAAAAGAGCAGCGAACGCACGCGCTACAATGAAAGGCCGGCGGCGCCACGGGGTGCCCGGCAACAGCCCCGCGCCGTCCGACCGCCAGCTCGCCACCCCGCACGGGATGGCTGAAGGACAGCGCCGCGGTGCGGCCGCTCTGCCCGGGAGCGCGCCTCCACTGCACCTCTCTGGCACAGCCGTCGAGAGCGTGAGCAGAGCAAGAGTGTGAGAGAGTGAGAGGGGAGAGAGAGAGAGGGAGAGAGAGAGAGAGAGGGAGAGAGAGAGAGAGAGAGAGAGAGAGAGAGAGAGAGAGAGAGAGAGAGAGAGAGAGAGAGAGAGAGAGAGAGAGAGAGAGAGAGAGAGAGAGAGAGAGAGAGAGAGAGAGAGAGAGAGAGAGAGAGAGAGAGAGAGAGAGAGAGAGAGAGAGAGAGAGAGAGAGAGAGAGAGAGAGAGAGAGAGAGAGAGAGAGAGAGAGGAGAGAGAGAGAGAGAGAGAGAGAGAGAGAGAGAGAGAGAGAGAGAGAGAGAGAGAGAGAGAGAGAGAGAGAGAGAGAGAGAGAGAGAGAGAGAGAGAGAGAGAGAGAGAGAGAGAGAGAGAGAGAGAGAGAGAGAGAGAGAGAGAGAGAGAGAGAGAGAGAGAGAGAGGAGAGAGAGAGAGAGAGAGAGAGAGAGAGAGAGAGAGAGAGAGAGAGAGAGAGAGAGAGAGAGAGAGAGAGAGAGAGAGAGAGAGAGAGAGAGAGAGAAGAGAGAGAGAGAGAGAGAGAGAGAGAGAGAGAGAGAGAGAGAGAGAGAGAGAGAGAGAGAGAGAGAGAGAGAGAGAGAGAGAGAGAGAGAGAGAGAGAGAGAGAGAAGCAGTATGGGACTAGATATATTGGGTCAAACTCCGCTCAGTGTTGATGAATCCTGACCTGACTGGCATAGCCGACGGCCGACTGAGAGGTCTACTCTACAATGCTAGAGCATCGCATTGCAAACGCGCCTTTCTTGGGCCGTACGAGGCACGTAGGAAAGTCACTTCTCGACTGTTTTGTAAAAGTGGTAGTGATATGCGGACGTCCACATAGGAATGCTAGGCCCCAACGCTCAATCTGAAGCATTATGCTTTTCTGGCGTGTACATTTCCGACACAGGTTCAACCTGGATTTCCACACCGTGGACTTTAAGATGGCAAAACATCATGTGAAAATTATTTTCCTCTACGTTCAAAAATTGCCTTTTAGGAGGAGGCGGGTCGCTAAAGAAAAGGAAATGCACGAGGCTTTTCCGCTCCAGCTGTACTTCAAACGGAGAGATCACAATGATAACGACATTTTCCCGCGAAAACTGGCTTCAAAAGGCCCCAGAGAGGGCTGTATTGGCATTACATTTGGCCATGTGAACCAGCCGCCGCGGTCAGCACCTTTTCTTCAACGTTGTCAGTTTCTGCCGCATCACAAATGCGTGCGAGACGAATAACATGGGGAAGAAAATTCCACCAAAAACCCAGGAAGAGCTTACTATCTGTGTGAATTTCGGTGCCAGCGCACTTGCTCCTGGTTAGTATACCTTTAGCCAGGTTCGTGTCATCAAAGATCAGGTCTCAAATGACGCAGCACGAGGACCTTTCGTATGTCTGGTTTATCTCGGTATTGCGTACAATCCCAATAATCAGCACAGTTATGAATTCATGCAACAGTTGCTACTGATGACGGGCCTTTTAACGATCATGGGTGCACAATTAGTTAAACCCCAAGAAACTGCATACCAAACCAATTGTGTGCAAAACTAGAAAGAGGCGATCCTCTTGCGTACATGGATGGATAAGGTGGCGCCTAATAGTTAAAGTGACAAAACTACACAATTGATGAAGGAGCATATCCTCGAAACGGCGGAAAACCGCTTGTTTGAAGTCCTGCATCGGCCACGGATGCCAAGCTGAGTGTGTTTCGTAATAACTGTCATCTTTCAGTGTATCTGCATTGCAGCGGAAATCTGGCGTGATTACGGTAACGACGCAGAACTAGACTAAATAGGCACAGCAGCCAGAGCGCTTCGCCAATGTCTCCGAGAAAAAAGACGGCATAGACGGCAGACAGCAGACGGCAAAGACGGCCAGCTCAGCTGCCGTAATTGGAAAGAGCCTGCAGTTTTTTTCTTTTGCCAGCTCTATTAGCACATGCTTAGCATTTCCCCGCTTTCCAGCAGGGAATGCCAAGGCTTTGGAATTTTTTGTTCCGAATTTGGATGTCAACGTACGGTTTTATGCGCCGCGGTGGACAGAGACGAGCACTTATGGTCACCTGTCTATGGGTGAGGGGTAGAAAAAGTGATCTTATATTAAGTAACATATTAAATGAGCAAACGGGCAAAGTTTGGTCTCGAAGCCGACCAGCAACAGCCTCATTCCGCATAGGATCTTCAGCTGTTGGGAGGGTGTTCCTCTTTGGCGATCAATGCATTGAACGGTAGTCACGTTAGTCAATACATACAAGGCTGCAACGTTTGAACGTAAATCCTGGAAAGTTAATAACAGAAGAAAAACCAGCTGCAGGTGACAAACGTGCTAGGAGACGCAAATTGATTACATGTAGGCGGACATAGGTAAAGACGCGGTGCCTGTATACATTGCGTGGGGTGAATGACGATATTTATAGCGAGTTAAATAGTTCCAAATCCATTAGATACTAAAGCCAATTACTCAACTAATGTCTAAATGCGAACTAAATCAAACGCTCACTCCTATGGCAAAATACCTCTATTTCAGGGCCATACATGACATATAAATAAAACCCCCATCCAGGTAGTGTTTCACATTTGTATGGGGTTTTTAACTGAGATAAGACATTTTGAAGTTCTTTCAATGCATTTAACAGCCAAACCCTAGGTAAGACCTAAAGCGCTACTGTTCTGAAATTGACACCCGCAAACTTGTGCAAACTATTTCGTTCAAACTATTTCACCGGTCACCGAAGCATGCATGATGCTATAGAGACGTCATGATAATATCACCACCTCAATGGCCATGCAGTGCCCAAGGTAAACAAAATGTGGTTATTGAATTGTTCATGCCTGGCGTACGCCCGCACGATTCGTGATATCAACGGACATGTCTTGACTTTTAGCCAATTTGCTGTGTTGAGTGCGTGTTCAAACACAAATGGCGTTTTATTCTTCAGAATACAGGAAAATGGGACAGTATTATTAATTATGGCAGAAAAAAGACTGAAAATAAAACAAAACGTAAAAGAGTGCCGTAGTCGAATACATTAATGCCAGTGAAAAATATGAAATCACGGAAAAACGCACAAGAACGCAATGGGAAAGGCGAAAACACAAGGACTTAGCGGCATTCTGTTTCAGGCAAACAAGCACCAGCGAACACCCCACCGCATCGGCAAGTTGAAGTACTATAGGTGGGTTAGCCTGACCACTACGGAAGCAATTCTGACATGGCCAATCCGGCAGCGACTATGACGTCATAAGACACTTCGTGACGTATTCATAATATGGCGTATTTAGGAACATGCTTACCAAATAGCGAAATTTTGTTGTGCAGAGAAGTCGTTTGCAATTAAAAACAAACCAGCAGTTAAAAGTGAGTGGATTTCATCCTATCCCATGCTTGCCTCACTATCTTCAGATATGGAACATGACCGTTAAGAGCAGTCCCTCTTCAACGGTTATACCGGTAGTGCACGACAAGAACTCATCCCACTGACTGGAAACCTTTGGCTAAAGTTCACATGAACTTTTTCCGTTGCCTGGGAACCTGCAGTTCAAATTCAGAAATAACTGCCCTCGCTGCTTGGAGAGTATGCTGCTTTGACCGTGCTCCCCCCTCAATACGCAGCGCGTCAACGAGCGTCATGTTTTACCAGTGGTATCGTGGCAACCAGCCAGGTTATACCTTACTGAGGGCTCTGCGTCTGTCCAGGTAATCCTGATTGGGGGTACGGGGGAGGGGGCATTAGGCACTCAGTGGCTGGATGTGCGCCCCCGGAGCGGATGTGGGCGCGCATTAAGTCAGAGCAGAAAACTTCTATGAAGACCTAATCATGATCCAAGAGCCTCGGGCACTGCACCATGCCGCGCAAATCACTTCCTTTCACGTGGGCACGCTCCAGGCATTGTCGGTCTATCGTTCCATTAATCGATCCTTCCGTCCAGCCCGGATGCAGGTAGACCGGTCGGAGCGAGCGAGCCGTCTTTTGACTGTTAGAAGAGCCAGGGAGGTCTGCTTAACGGGTGACGGCGTGTGTAAGATGTGTTATGCTCCCCTAATATTGACGGCTTTACGCGCAGGTTGGCTGTTTCTTCATGGCACCTAAGCGCATTTGACAGGCAGTGCTCATAAGAAACATTGGTGGACTGCATCATCTTGAGGTCACCCGTTTGAGCAGTATTGCTGCAATAGAAGAGTAAGCTTCCATTCGGCAAGATCTCTCTCAAACAACTAGCTTAACAAACAATTAGTAACCTCTACAAAAAAGCACGTCAAACACTTGAGAATGCTATCAAAGCAGCCGTGCTGGTATTTTCAAGATCATTCTGAACTTATTATTGTCATTATGATGCAAAGCAGACCAACTAGTTTGAATGTCTGTCCGTGGACAAAGTGACGTTCTCTTGGGTGAACTTTTCTCCAAAGATCACAGCATGATAACTTGACAATGTCCTTACTGTTGCTTGTCACATTCCTCTTGTGCACCCAGACCAATGGAACCTTGCGTTCCATCAACAGAAACCAGCATGTGATTTGGTGCTGTAATTTTAATAAATTGCCGAAAAGAAAATGGAGATCCAGCTCGACAAGGCTGCAGAAGATGTCACCAGGCAAAAAACGACAACAAGCGGTCCTGCCTCCCAGAACTGGCGGGCGGTTTAGCCTCGCACCGGAGGTGTCCCATAACACTCGATATAAATCGATGGCGGCACTCTGGGCGACTCGCTGCCACGCCTTAATGACCCGACGGCGGCTCAACCCGATCACGTGTCCATCATTGCATTATGACTCGACACGTCTCAATTATTCCTTTGTGACTCAATGTCAGGTGTCGATCATTCCTTTATGGCTCAACGCCACGTCTCGATCATTCCTTTTTGACTCAACGCCACGTCTCGATCATTCTCTGAGGATTCAAAGTCGCGACTCTACCATTCCGTGGGAGCTCCATGTCACGTTGCAACGCCGACCTACCGGGGTGACTCGATGTCCGGCACCTGCAGGAAGTTGGAGCTCTTGGGCTTGTGCGAGGGACTATGCAGGGTGGGCACGGCGCGCGCTAGGATATCGGCTACTGACACCTGGGGTGAGCCGAACCCGGTCGAGAAGCCGTACAACATCTCCTGGAACACGCTGTCCGCACAGAGAAACGTGTCAGCGACACAGGCACAGACTGGACAGTGACACGGAATGGACAGTAACACAGACGCAGACACAGACTGAACAGTGACATGGAATGGACAGAACACAGACACAGACACAGACTGAACGGTGCCACTGACACAGACACAGACTGGACAGTGACAAACTGCACAGGAGACAGACTTCACATTGACACAGACTGCACGGTGACACAAACTGGACAGTAACACAGACGCAGACACAGACTGGGCAGTGACAGATTGCACAGTGACACAGACTTCACACTGACACAGACTGTACAGTGACAAAGACGCAGACACGGACTGGGCAGTGACACAGACGCAGACACAGACTGGACAAAGGCACAGAGACAGACGCAGACTGGACAGTGACACAGACCCCGACGCAGACACAGACTGGGCAGCGACACAGACGCAGACACAGACTGGGCAGTGACACAGACGCAGACGCAGACCGGACAATGACACGGACGCAGACACAGACCGAACAGTGACACAGACGCAGACACAGACTGGACAGAGACACAGACGCAGACACATACTGGACAGCGACACAGACGCAGACACAGATTGGACAGTGACACAGACGCAGACACAGACGCAGACTGGACACGGCGCGGAGAGCGGCGCAGGCAAGCGCGGGGCGCGAACTCGCGGACTGACAAATGCTGGCCGTCAGCACAGCGGAGCGACGAGGCAAAACTGGATGCATTCATCGAGGGATGATGTTCTGGAGTCAAAGGGCCAGCGTGACTGGAACCGTTGACCTTAGGGCTGCAAGTGGCCTGTGGTGCTGTGTAGCCAGCTGCTTATCTACGGCACACGGTTGGTGAACTTTGCCTGTGAGAAAGCACCGTTTTAGCTCAAAACGAGGTGCTCTTAACTCAATTCAGAACCACTGTGTGCAATTTGAAGCTTATCCACCTCAGTGGACCTGTAATCGGCGCGTGCTGCCGAGTGCTGTGTTAACTTAGAAAGCTTGGTAAACAAACGTGCAGCATCGAATGATGAATAGAGCAACACTGTTTGTTTGTGCCCTGTAGCGCCTCTTCCCAAACGACTGCCTCACATAACAGGTTTAAGGACCAATCCAAAGGAAACATGATGCTCAGAATACGTGGATGCGTTGAGGTGAGACGCAGCACACACATGAGATAGAATTAAAGACTACTTAAACGAAACAGAAAAGGTCATAGTGTGAAGAAACTGCTGCTAGTATCAATTTGAACACCTTGTTCCAAATGTTTTGCTGAGATGCGTGCATTTTACAGAATGCAGAAGAAGCATGTGACGTATGGAGGGCTAGGGCAGTATCATCAAAGTTGGTGCTCATGCAAGTTGAGCTGAACGATGGGATCTGTCACTTAATTTGGTTACGTTACCCCAACACGATTTGCCATTCATTCATTCATTAGTTGGGCTGAGCCATAGAAGTTTAATAGCATATGTGTTTGAGTACGCACGCTGGTCCCCTCGCACTAAAAAAAGAAAGGAAAACCTTGAGGCCCTAGTTTTCGGCACCATGAGTCCAGAGATCTTATGCCGATAATCATCGATCT